GAAGGGGCGGGTCAGGATATAAGGATTTGGGATGGGACGGGGGGAAGGAATGGTGCCCAACCACTTGGACAGACAGGGATTGAACGTCGACCTGCATGAAGCGAGACCGTACCGTCCAGCCCAAGTGGTTGTAATTCTCTTCAGGTGTATAAAGTGAGTCACTTACAAATGCGTCCCTCGACCAGCTGCTGGAAGAAGGCAAATGTGGTACCAATTTACAAGAAAGGAGATAGAGAAAAGGCACTTAACTACAGACCAGTGTCACTGACGACCATAACCTACAAAGTACTCTAAAGAATAATAAAGTTAAGACTATAATTCTCTCCAGGTGTATAGCTAGTCTTAACTTTATTATTCTTTAGAGTACTTTGTAGGTTATGGTCGTCAGTGACACTGGTCTGTAGTTAAGTCCCTCTTTCCTGCCATCCCTGCCCCCCTCCACCATCCCTGCCCCCCCTCCACCACTGCCCCCCTCCACCATCCCTGCCCCCCTCCACCATCCCTGCCCCCCACCACCAGCACACCACCATCCCTGCCCCCCTCCACCATCCCTGCCCCCCACCACCAGCACACCACCACCACTGCCCCCCTCCACCAGCACACCACCATCCCTGCCCCCCCACCACCAGCACACCACCATCCCTGTCCCCCCACCACCAGCACTCCACCACCACTGCCCCCCTCCACCAGCACACCACCATCCCTGCCCCCGTACTTAGTGCCCCGTGATCTCAGAAACAGAAGGTTCTGGGAACCTGGGCGTTGTGTTTGCCGCGCAGCCTTAACATGAGGGCAAACAATAGAGGACGTCGACGCTTCTCAGAAAGGTGGTCAGGCTGGTCGATCCCGTGGCGTTAGTTTGGTTACCAGCTGGGCACAATTTCCGCCAGCATTCATTGATCATTTACGTTTCCACCTAAGAAACCTCTACATCTTTCCTCTATCACAGCCGCTTAGTCTGTATTTATGAAACAGTTTATGAACTGTGAAGCACTGCAAGATTGTCTATAACAAAAATAATCTTGGATTGTGAAGTTTTCAAGCTCGTAAACGGTGTAATAAATGCAAACTAAGCCGCCATAATTGATGAAAGATGTACAGGTTTCGTGGACATGTAAATGCTTGACGAATCCTGGCGCTGGTCCACCCTCCTTCCATATATATACACACATATTATGGGGACCACTGAGGCATGTTCTCTCCTGTACATAATCAAGGAGATGAAACAGCGAGTGGGAAGAGGCAGAGGAAGAACCCATACACAGCTTCCAATATCAGTGCCACGTCTCAATTGGGGCATTGATTGGCACTGAATAAATAATGAACCATACAGAATTTATTGGGAAACTGTTCCAAGTGTTAAAAATCCACGCTGAAACGTAGTTGTATTTTCCATGTGTATATTATTTGGTATCTCTCTCGTCTCCTTTCTAGTTAGTAGATTTGGAGAGCTTTGAGACGATCCCAATAATTTAGGTGCTTTATCTCGTCTATGCGTGCCGTATATGTTCTCTGTATTCCCTCTATTTCAGCCATCTTTCCTGCTCTAAAGGGGGAAGTGAGTACTGAGCAGTACCCAAGACGGGACAACACAAGTGATTTGAAAAGTACAACCATTGTGATGGGATCTCTGGAGTGGAAGGTTCTCGTAATCCATCCAATCATTTTTCTGGCTGACGTTTTCAGGTCGTATATATATTGGAGTTTTCAGTCGCATATATGCTTGGGGACCATTCAAGCTTGTTTACACACACACACACATATATATATATATATATATATATATATATATATATATATATATATATATATATATATCTACATTTGAGTGATATGGAATGATCTGGCATTAACACAAGACAGAACAAGATGTGGTAATAGGGTATTAATTTCACAAGACAAGACACAAGATGTGGTATTAATAGGGTATTAATTTCATCAACACAAGACAGAACACGAAACAATGGATATTGAATAGAAGTGTTTGTAGAAAGCCTATTGGTCCATATTTCTTGATGCTTCTATATTGGAGCGGAGTCTTGAGGTGGGTAGAATATAGTTGTATATATATATATATATATATATATATATATATATATATATATATATATATATATATATATATATATATATATATATATATATATATATATATATATATATATATATATATATATATATATATATATATATATATATATATATATATATATATATATATATAATATATATATATATATATATATATATATATATATATATATATATATATATAATATATATATATATATATATATATATATATATATATATATATATATATATATATATATATATATATATAATATATATATATATATATATATATATATAATATATATATATATATATATATATATATATATATATATATATATATATATATATATATATATATATATATATATATATATATATATATATATATATATATATATATATATATATATATATATATATATATATATATATATATATATATATATATATATATATATATATATATATATATATATATATATATATATATATATATATATATATATATATATATATATATATATATATATATATATATATATATATATATATATATATATATATATATAATATATATATATAATATATATATATATATATATATAATATATATATATATATATATATATATATATATATATATATATATATATATATATATATATATATAATATATATATATATATATATATATATATATATATATATATATATATATATATATATATATATATATATATATATAAATTATTAAATATGACCGAAAAAGTAAGATTAATAATTCTAACATGAATTTTCTCAATCTTTCGTACATTTCTTTTCACTGATGGAGGTAAATCAAAAATCAATTCTCCAAAATTCAAAAAGTTGACTAGGACCAAAAGGTCCTAGGACCAACTAGGACGAAAAGGTCCTAGGACCAACTAGGACCTAGTTGTTGACTAGGACCAAAAGGTCCTAGTCAACAACGGCTTCTCCAATGGTTTCGTTGAAGACATCATAAGAAGGAAAGTGAAACGCCATGCAACCTCTGAAGAGACAACTAACACAACACCTATACCCCCTATTAGACTATTTTACAGGAACTTCTTTTCCACAGCTCATAAAACGGAGGAAAGGGTCCTGAAAGATATTGTTAATAGAAACGTTATCCCTACAGACAAAAAACAGAGGATACAACTGACGATTTACTATAAAACCAGAAAAACGGCCAGCCTACTCATGAGAAACTCTCCAGACACAAAACAGAACGCTTTAAAAGAGACTAACGTCGTCTATGCCTTCAAATGCCCTCTTGGGGACTGTAAGCTCCAAAAAACCCAGTATATAGGCAAGACAACAACATCTCTTTCTAGGCGTTTAACGATGCATAAGCAACAGGGCTCCATTAAGGAACATATAATCTCTTCCCACAACCAAACCATCGCCAGAGAAATCCTAGTAAACAACACAGAAATCATCGATAGATACAGCGATAGCAGGCGGCTTGACGTTTGCGAGGCACTACACATCAAGAAGTCAACACCAGCAATCAACAGCCAATTAATGCACAACTATATTCTACCCACCTCAAGACTCCGCTCCAATATAGAAGCATCAAGAAATATGGACCAATAGGCTTTCTACAAACACTTCTATTCAATACCCATTGTTTCGTGTTCTGTCTTGTGTTGATGAAATTAATACCCTATTAATGCCACCTCTTGTTCTGTCTTGTGTTGATGAAATTAATACCCTATTAATGCCACCTCACCCCATCCACCTCACTAAAATGTAGATATAAAATCGGAGATGCGTAAGTTCTATTCAGTTGTGTATTTGTAAACTAAAGTCTTTGAAAATGTAATAAGTTTTACGAAACGCGCTCGTGTCGCGTCAGACTAGAAATAAAAATGAATTTTGGAGAATTGATTTTTGATTTACCTCCAACAGTGAAAAGAAATGTACGAAAGATTGAGAAAATTCGTGTTAGAATTATTAATCTTACTTTTTCGGTCATATTTAATAATATATGTCTACAGGAAAGACTGCTACCAAAATATACTAATATATATATATATATATATATATATATATATATATATATATATATATATATATATATATATATATATATATATATATATATATATATACACAGCTGAATACATATATATATATATATATATATATATATATATATATATATATATATATATATATATATATATATATATATATATATATATATATAATGTATAATGTGTGTGTGTGTGTGTGTGCGAACAAGCCTGAATAGTCCCCAGGACTATATACGACTGAAAACTCACACTCTAGAAGTGACTCGAACCCATTATTAAGATTAAGATTAGGATACAAATATATCTGGCAATACGGTGTTGATGTCAGTGAAAAAGATAAGGGGTGTAAATTATGTAGTATGCCGCACGCCCACACCTTAGAACATTATGTATTAGAGTGTCAACTTATTGAAAACTATAGAAATAAGGAAATAAATAGTGTACCACATCAAATTGTTTGGATGTGTGATAATGGTATGATAGTATACTTAGGAGCTACAAGAATTTTGCCCCGAGAGTGTAACAATTATATGCTGTACTTACTATATAAACCTGCAATGTTAAATGGGATTCTTGTAATGTTATTCGTCTATTTGTACTCACTGAATTTGTGCGTCGAAGAGGTTTAAGACGTGCACTTCGAACAATGGTAGTAATTAAAGCATTTTTCGATAAAATTTTGAAACATGACACTTACTTAAAACCATTGATCGCAGAAAGTTGATCTCAGGAGCTGAAGCCCCATTAGCCCTGGGGTCAACATGTGGATCTGTATAACTGAACAATGATAAAAACACTTAAAAATATAACATTCAAGCATTAATTAGGTGTAACATACAACGTACAGTTTCTTGTTTTCAGAACGAGGTGTTCAGCGCCTGCTCTCACTGTTCACCTTTCAACAGAATTTATCCACAAGACAGTTTGTGGGGTTTGGAGTACCACCCTGCAGAAGCCATAGTGCAGGTAAGCCACCTCATACCAGCATTGATAGCGTACAGGTACATTAAAAGTAACAAATACATAATAGATATTGGTTTCAAGTTCAATTATGTTTATTGTGACAATAGAATACATCTCAAAAGGATAGATTAGCTTAGGCTATTTCTATTCTCCATTTTGGTTTTAGGGTAGCCCCTGTGCTGCTTGAGTATTTCAAGATCATAATGCAATCCGTCCTCCTAATGGAACATCGCATTTTGACGTATACTCTACACATGGCCAAAAACTGTCATACTAGAAAATGGTAGCGGCTCACGAAATTGACATACTGTCCCGTTTTTTGTTTTGGGTCTCTGGAAGGTTAGGGGAGGGAACTTTAGTACGACAGTTTCTTGACCTTGGGAAATCTTAGGACGGGCTGTATGACGCCCCTTGGTTAAGGGGTGGGGGCTGTGTTGTGTACCCGACACTAGAGGAAGTGTGCATTAGTGTGTAATTACCTAAGTTTAATTACCTAAGTGTAGTTACAGGATGAGAGCTACACTCGTGGTGTCCCGTCTACCCAGCTCTCTTTGTCATATAACGCTTTGAAGCTACTGATGGTTTTGGCCTTCACCACCAACTCACTTAAATTGTTCCAACCGTCTGTCACTCTGTGAAAGTGAATTTTCTTATATTTCTTCTGCATCTTTGTTTACTTAGTTTAAATCTATGACCTCTTGTTCTTAAAGTTCCAGGTCTCAGGAAGTCTTCCCTATCGATTTTATAAATTCTTGTTACTATTTTGTACGTAGTGATCATATTGCCTCTTTTTCTTCTGTCTTCTAATTTTGACATATTTAATGCCTCTAACCTCTCCTCATAGCTCTTGCCCTTCAGTTCTGGGAGCCACTTAGTAGCATGTCTTTGCATCTTTTCCAGTTTGTTGACGTGCTTCTTAAGATATGGGCACCACACAACCGCTGCATATTCTAGCTTTGGCCTAACAAAAGGTGGAACAATTTCCTTAGTATTTCGCCATTGATGTATTTAAAAGCAATTCTAAAGTTAGAAAGCGTGGCATAGGCTCCTCGCACAACGTTCTTTATGTGGTCCTCAGGTGATAATTTTCTATCTAGAACCACCCCTAGATCTCTTTCTTTATAAGAATTCTTTAGAGATTTCTCACATAATTTATAGGTTGTGTGGGATCTATGTTCTCTTATTGCACATTCCATACTTGGCATTTATTCACATTCAATTCCATTTGCCAAGTGGTGCTCCATATACTTATTTTGTCCAGGTCGTCTTGAAAGGCATGACAATCATCTAAGTTTCTTATCCTTCCTATTATCTTAGCATCATCAGCAAACATGTTTATATAATTCTGTATTCCAACTGGTAGATCATTTATGTAGACAATGAACATCACAGGTGCAAGAACTGAACCCTGTGGTACTCTACTTGTGACATTTCTCCAGTCCGATATATTGCCTCTGATTACTGCCCTCATTTTTCCAGTTTCCAGAACAACCTCTTATGTGGAACTCTGTCAAAAGCCTTTTTTAGGTCTAGATAGATGCAGTCAAAATAATTCCTCAAATAAGTAGCTGCCTCACCTCACTGCCTTACTGCTTCATAGCCTTCCCAGCATGGTGCCTTCTTTTGATAATTACTTGTTCCACACACCCAAATTGTGTAACAGGAAAAGGTCTTGGACCCCTACTTCCCCCTCTTTTTTAATAGTCCATATAGTCATAATTATAGGTTTAAGTATTCAATGAGAAAAGTTTTTGAAGTTTTTACCCTAACCTAACATCATTTGTGCAGCATATTTTTATTTTATGTTTCACCCAGATTTAATTTAAAAATAAAACCAAACAAAATAAATTAAAAATAGGAGGGTGTACCTTAGCTATACATATCCATCTATACTTATTACTAGGTGAACTTGGTGATAGTAAATGCTCCCATCAGGCAGGGCTCATCACCTTCTCTTATATTTCATGTTCACCAGCATTTATCTACTTAATAACTACTGGTATAATATCTTGCTATTATAAAACTAATTCTGATATCATAAAAGACGTATTTACTGCAAGTTTCAAGCAAAGAATGCATATACAACTAACACGAAGGACGCCTCTTGATGAAATTCTCCAGCTAAAATCTTTTGTTTATAATAAAATCGATCCTTCATGTTGTGTAGTGGAGAAAAATTGGGTTATATTCAGTTTATGTAAAGCTACGAGTGGTCGACAGCAACCTTAGCCGACGGAGTAAACTTACGAAGATTTTTCTTTTTAGATTGCCTACCTGAAAACCGACGTAGCCATTACGAAGGCGCTAAGAAGAAAACATTCGTAAGTACCTTCATGAATCTGGCCCCAGGGTATTAATTACTGAAGCTTTGACCCCCCTCAACAATAAAAACAAACTCCAAACATCAATAATTGGAACAGGTTAGTGATAAAAGTTGTTGAAGCTAATTCGATTCACAGTTTCAAGTGTAAATATGATAAAAGCGTCAGAAATGAGTCATTGCATGAGTCATGAGTCATTGGGGAGCCGGTCGGCCGAGCGGACAGCACGCTGGACTTGTGATCCTGTGGTCCTGGGTTCAATCCCAGGCGCCGGCGAGAAACAATGGGCAGAGTTTCTTTCACTCTATACCCCTGTTACCTAGCAGTAAAATAGGAACCTGGGTGTTAGTCAGCTGTCACGGACTGCTTCCTGGGGGTGGAGGCCTGGTCGAGGACCGGGCTGCGGGGACACTAAAAAAGCCCCGAAATCATCTCAAGATAACCTCAAGAATATTGCATTAATCTAAGAACATTCAATCATTGCATTTAAATTACTCACTTGAAATGAGTAACTATTTGGTGGAAGGTACCAACGTGTAGTGATGGACCACCAGAAAATTGACTTTTGTATTATTGAATTTGGACAAACAGAATTTTTTTTTTAGACATAAATATAAAACCTAACCCTATCATAGCAATTCTAGGCCTATTACATGCTAACTTAGCCTAATAAATAAATATATATATATATATATATATATATATATATATATATATATATATATATATATATATATATATATATATATATATATATATATATATATATATATATATATATATATATATATATAATATATATATATATATAATATATATATATATATAATATAAAATATATAATATTCACTTCTTACATTCTTGTACATATACGTGGTATACTAGGTCTGGGGATATTTAAGTTTGATTTTAACTTTATTTTTCCGGACTCAATAAAATTAATAGGATAAAAGGCAGTTTACTGGTGGTCCAACCCCACATATGGGTACTTTCTGCCAAACAGTTACGTACTCTTAGTAGAGTACTATCATTTCAAGTGGATGGGCTGCGGTGCCATGTAAAAATTTATTTTTTAATGTATTTTTATAAATTATTGCCTTTTTATATTTCAGGTGCATTCAATTGTTTTAATGTTGCATTTTTTTAGGGGTGGGGGTGGAGAATGGTCAGAAGTAAGCCTGCATATGATGCTTACTATGTTGCTCCATATTTTATAGGTGGTAATCATGTCTCCATTAATTTATATTCGTTTGCAGAAATAATATGATGTGTGTAAGATTTGTGTACGTGCCTGCAGGTGGTGGTGAGGAAGTGTAGAGCGGGCGTGGAGAGACGGACGGGACTGTGGGTCATGATGCCAGCCTCCTCCACCCAACACTTCCTGCCAACATGACCTGGTCAGAGCTACATACAGTCCTTCACCTTCCCTTATTCTTCCGCAGTGATCAGTATTATACAGTTTAATGTGCCCTTTCACTACCTCAGTCTGTGTTTCTCTGTCTTGCCTATCGATCTCTCTCGTGTGTGTGTGTGCTCACCTATTTGTGCCTGCAGGATCGAGCATTAGCTCTTGGACCCCTGCATTTCTAGTCGCCGGTTGTTTAAAGCAATGCCTCCTATCCTATTTTCCTAGCATATCTTTTTATAACTATGAATAGAGTTTGTTTGCCCAACTTGATCCTTTAGATCATTCCATTTTCCTACTACTCTCATGCCATTTAAAAAAAAAAAAACTACCTATATGACAGATGAGTCTCAACTTTTCCCTCCATGCCTCCTTGCTCTATTAGTATTCATTGTGTAAATTTCATCTAGTTCCACACTGTCAATCTCCCTCAGAGAGAGAGTGTGTGTGTGTGTAATTACCTAAGTGTAATTACCTAAGTGTAGTTACAGGATGAGAGCTACACTCGTGGTGTCCCATCTTCCCAGCACTCTTTGTCATATAATGCTTTAAAATTACTGACAGTTTTGGCCTCCACCACCTTCTCACCTAACTTGTTCCAACCGTCTACCACTCTGTTTACAAAAGTGAATTTTCTTGTGTGTGTGTGTGTGTGTGTGTGTGTGTGTGTGTGTGTGTGTGTTTACTATTTGCGTATTTACTATTTGTGTCTGCAGAATTGAGCTGTTAGTTCTTGGACGCCACCTTTCTAGCCAATCTACTTTTCCTTTATTATATCTACTTCATATATTTCTCTCTAACAGACGATGAGTCACAATAACATGGCTAAAGTATGATGACCAGACCACACACTAGAACGTGAAGGGACGACGACGTTTCGGTCCGTCCTGGACCATTCTTCATGCAATAAATAGGCACGAGAGATGAAAAGCAAAGGAAGGGGTTGCTCCTCATCTCTCGTGCCTATTTAATGCCTGTCTCCACTTCCTCATCACAATCGACTTGAGAATGGTCCAGGACGGACCGAAACGTCGTCGTCCCTTCACATTCTAGTGTGTGGTCTGGTCATCATTTCTCTCTAACAATTTGTGTGTGTGTAACTTCTTGTCTGTGGTTCCATTTGCCTTCGTGTATATATGTTTTCTTTTATTAATTAAAACAATTCATCGTATTTTCTATATTTTTTTGTATAATAAATTATCCTGAGGAGTGTGGAGTGTTGAGCTGTGTTGCACAGAAGCCAGTTATTATCAGTGACTTGCAAGTTTTCCTCTCTGCCTGTCAGTAAGTGATTTGTGGGACTCTTGACAGCTGCAGCCCCTCCCCCTCTGAAACTTGATGGCTGCAGCCCCTCCCCCTCTGAAACTTGATGGCTGCAGCCCCTCCCTCTCTGAAGCTTGGTGGATGCAGACCCTCCCTCTCTGAAGCTTGGTGGCTGCAGCCCCTCCCTCTCTGAAGCTTGGTGGCTGCAGCCCCTCCCTCTCTGAAGCTTGGTGGATGCAGACCCTCCCTCTCTGAAGCTTGGTGGCTGCAGCCCCTCCCTCTCTGAAGCTTGGTGGCTGCAGCCCCTCCCTCTCTGAAGCTTGGTGGCTGCAGACCCTCCCTCTCTGAAGCTTGATGGCTGCAGACTCTCCCTCTCTGAAGCTTGGTGGCTGCAGACCCTCCTTCTCTGAAACATGGCAGCTGCAGCCCCTCCCTCTCTGAAGCTTGGTGGCTGCAGCCCCCCTCTCTCTGAAGCTTGGTGGCTGCAGCCCCTCCCTCTCTGAAGCTTGGTGGCTGCAGACCCTCCTTCTCTGAAGTTTGGTGGCTGCAGACCCTCCTTCTCTGAAACATGGCAGCTGCAGCCCCTCCCTCTCTGAAGCTTGGTGGCTGCAGACCCTCCCTCTCTGAAGCTTGGTGGCTGCAGACCCTCCTTCTCTGAAACATGGCAGCTGCAGACCCTCCATCTCTGAAGCTTGATGGCTGCAGCCCCTCCCTCTCTGAAGCTTGGTGGCTGCAGCCCCTCCCTCTCTGAAGCTTGGTGGCTGCAGACCCTCCCTCTCTGAAGCTTGATGGCTGCAGACTCTCCCTCTCTGAAGCTTGGTGGCTGCAGACCCTCCTTCTCTGAAACATGGCAGCTGCAGCCCCTCCCTCTCTGAAGCTTGGTGGCTGCAGCCCCCCTCTCTCTGAAGCTTGGTGGCTGCAGCCCCTCCCTCTCTGAAGCTTGGTGGCTGCAGACCCTCCTTCTCTGAAGTTTGGTGGCTGCAGACCCTCCTTCTCTGAAACATGGCAGCTGCAGCCCCTCCCTCTCTGAAGCTTGGTGGCTGCAGACCCTCCCTCTCTGAAGCTTGGTGGCTGCAGACCCTCCTCCTCTGAAACATGGCAGCTGCAGACCCTCCATCTCTGAAGCTTGATGGCTGCAGCTCCTCCCTCTCTGAAGCTTGGTGGCTGCAGCCCCTCCCTCTCTGAAGCTTGGTGGCTGCAGACCCTCCCTCTCTGAAGCTTGGTGGCTGCAGCCCCTCCCTCTCTGAAGCTTGGTGGCTGCAGCTCCTCCTTCTCTGAAACATGGCAGCTGCAGCCCCTCCCTCTCTGAAGCTTGGTGGCTGCAGACCCTCCCTCTCTGAAGCTTGGTGGCTGCAGACTCTCCCTCTCTGAAGCTTGGTGGCTGCAGACTCTCCCTCTCTGAAGCTTGGTGGCTGCAGACCCTCCCTCTCTGAAGCTTGGTGGCTGCAGACCCTCCCTCTCTGAAGCTTGGTGGCTGCAGACTCTCCCTCTCTGAAGCTTGGTGGCTGCAGACCCTCCCTCTCTGAAGCTTGGTGCCTGCAGACCCTCCCTCTCTGAAGCTTGGTGGCTGCAGCCCCTCCCTCTCTGAAGCTTGGTGGCTGCAGCTCCTCCTTCTCTGAAACATGGCAGCTGCAGCCCCTCCCTCTCTGAAGCTTGGTGGCTGCAGACCCTCCCTCTCTGAAGCTTGGTGGCTGCAGACCCTCCTTCTCTGAAGCTTGGTGGCTGCAGACCCTCCATCTCTGAAGGTTGATGGCTGCAGCTCCTCCCTCTCTGAAGCTTGGTGGCTGCAGACTCTCCCTCTCTGAAGCTTGGTGGCTGCAGCTCCTCCCTCTCTGAAGCTTGGTGGCTGCAGCCCCTCCCTCTCTGAAGCTTGGTGGCTGCAGCTCCTCCCTCTCTGAAGCTTGGTGGCTGCAGCCTCTCCCTCTCTGAAGCTTGGTGGCTGCAGCCCCTCCCTCTCTGAAGCTTGGTGGCTGCAGACTCTCCCTCTCTGAAGCTTGGTGGCTGCAGACCCTCCTTCTCTGAAGCGTGGTGGCTGCATACCCTCCTTCTCTGAAGCTTGGTGGCTGCAGACCCTCCTTCTCTGAAGCGTGGTGGCTGCATACCCTCCTTCTCTGAAGCTTGGTGGCTGCAGCTCCTCCCCTCTAAAGCTTGGTGGCTGCAGGCCCTCCCTCTCTGAAGCTTGGTGGCTGCAGACTCTCCCTCTCTGAAGCTTGGTGGCTGTAGACCCTCCCTCTCTGAAGCTTGGTGGCTGCAGACTCTCCCTCTCTGAAGCTTGGTGGCTGCAGACCCTCCTTCTCTGAAGCGTGGTGGCTGCATACCCTCCTTCTCTGAAGCTTGGTGGCTGCAGACCCTCCCTCTCTGAAGCTTGGTGGCTGCAGACTCTCCCTCTCTGAAGCTTGGTGGCTGCAGACTCTCCCTCTCTGAAGCTTGGTGGCTGCAGACCCTCCCTCTCTGAAGCTTGGTGGCTGCAGCTCCTCCCCTCTAAAGCTTGGTGGCTGCAGACCCTCCCTCTCTGAAGCTTGGTGGCTGCAGCTCCTCCCCTCTAAAGCTTGGTGGCTGCAGACTCTCCCTCTCTGAAGCTTGGTGGCTGCAGCTCCTCCCTCTCTGAAGCTTGGTGGCTGCAGACTCTCCCTCTCTGAAGCTTGGTGGCTGCAGACCCTCCTTCTCTGAAGCGTGGTGGCTGCAGACCCTCCTTCTCTGAAGCTTGGTGGCTGCAGACCCTCCCTCTCTGAAGTTTGGCGGCTGCAGTCCCTCCCTCTCTGAAGTTTGGCGGCTGCAGTCCCTCCCTCTCTGAAGTTTGGCGGCTGCAGTCCCTCCCTCTATGAATCTTGGCAGGAAAAGGAGAAGGAGAATAAGAGACCAATACAGTTATTTCAGAGGCGAAACACTTGGGACTGGCCTCACCTAACTTTGCAGGGAAAATGATCTGGGTTATGGGATGGACATAGGCTAGTTGGTCAACAAATTTAAATTGTGAGTAGTGTGTTACAGTGACAAACTATCCCCCCAAAAAATTTTTGGCACTTAATGCTGGCTACCTAAGTAAATATTTTGAAAACAAAAAATCTAGTTTTGTAACTTTTTATTATTAGTAATATACCAGTACAACAATATTCACTGATTGTGGGAAAATGAAGCAAAGTTGTTTGTTATTCATACATTAGTCATAGTATGAATAGTATAAAACACCCTCATCCACCTGAGCTGTATAAAACACATTCAAATACAAGAAGTTATGTATTTGTATAAAACATGTATGTACTGTACATAGCTTCAATACACCTACTACTCTTCCCACCGTCCCTCTTGAACCAGAGGAAAAGATAGTGGCAGCAATGAAACAAGGAAGAAGAGTTGGGAATATGAGGGGAGTGAGGCACAGGTATCCATGTCATTTAGCTCAGCAACCCCAGAGATAACCAGAACATAAGTGTAAACCAATCCACTTCTGATCCTTCTAACACACTCCCTCCCCCTACCCTCTGACACATCACACTATACTGACCACTCCTTCCCAGCCTCTTCCTGCCTCTGGCCACTAACCTCACCCCCTAAACCCCATGTAACTGAAATCCAAACTTGCACCCCTTCAATCTTCACTCCCAGACCTAAAAGTCCATCCTTGACTCACTGTGATATCCCCCTCCATCCCTAATTTAAACTTTCTACCATCCCCAAGCCCAACATTTCTTTCCCTTCCCTTTACCTAACTCCCTTCCCCCATCATAATGCTCCCCACTCAGAGCAACCTCCAGTACCTAAGGAACATAGGACTTGGGAGACTGTAAGTGAGCGTTAAAAGAAGAAAGTGGCCTTTTAGAGTACTGGTAATGTTTACAAAAATGGATTAGTCAAAACAAATGAACTCAGAATGAATACACTACGAGAATCCAAATGTTATTGCACTCACAGAAGCAAAGCTTTTAGGAGCCATAAATGTAATGTTTCCATGGCATATTACCAGTAAGTGAGAAAAGAAGGGGAAAGAGGAGTTAATGACTGCAGATTGTAAAAAAATGGATATTCGAATAGATGTAATACCAAGCTGTGAGGAGTTCAGAAACTGTGGGTTTTATAAATTTTTCATTATATTCTTGCATAATGGCTACTCCCAAACACCCAAGAGGTTCCCCTTCCCCATACATGCAATGCAGATTTCATTTAAGGACTATGTTTTTCTGAAACGCATCTTTAACTATTTACGGGCCCGCTAAACATTTCATATTAATAAATACGGTACAGTGAAAAAATTAAGAGTATTGTTATATAGAGTTACAAATTGTAAATTACTCAGTTATTGAGTGCTAACATAAATATTGTACATTATGTGTATAAATGAAACAGAATTTGAGTCATATACAGTAAAGAGGTACTGTAAAGCAGATTGTTATAGATAAGCAGTTATTATTTTGTTGCATTTTCTCATAGTCAGTAATATTTTATGCCAGCTTGGTGAACTGATTTTGTGTGTGTTTCAAGCTTTTGTCTCTGAGCTTAACATGCCTAGAACAAATTATGATAGAAATGAGCATCTTTACAAGATGTTTACATTGTTATATTGGCAGCTACTCTGTGGCGGAAGAGTTCATATACAGTACAATAAAATAAATTTCTACCATTCTAAATTTCTACTGTACTGTATGGGGATTTTTTCTTTGTAGAATATATTAATTTAATTTTCTCACTAAAGTTGGGACTAAATATACAGTATACAGACTAAATATACAGTATACAGTACTGCTTAAAACTTTTATATATGTGTGAAAATGTACATTTTGGAATATGACAAAATAGTTTTGACCAGCCAGGTATGCTCGACTACTGTGTCATCACCCATATGTGGTGTTGAGCAGTGTGGTGGTGGTGGTGGTGACATGTCTTGTACTCTCCCTTACTGCCCGCCCACTCCCAGCCTTCACCGACCCATCCTTGGTTAGTTCTCCTCTCATTATGATGTTTCAGTCTTAGTTTAGACATAACATAAGCAGATTGTTTATATAATATCTTTCTTTATGGATGTTTATATCTTCATTTTGTTGATACAATTGCAGTGAATTTTAAGCAAGTTTGTACTTATGATACTCTGAGTGGCAAGTTTGACATACAAACTTAGTAGTATAGTAGCCTGTTCTATATACTATTTTAAACTTTAAATTATTACTGTATATTGGCTTATGAATAGGGCTTTGAATCAAGAGGAACTGTGATAAGTGAGCGGGCAGTAGCCTGGGAAAACCTCTTGGATGCTACTCGTCCCAATGGTTCCCTCAGTGTCAACCCTTCAGATGACCCTTACTTGATGAAACTGCTTCACTCCTTTGGAAACAACGAAGAAAAAGAAGCAGATGATGAGAAACTTCCAAATCACACACACATTGTAAGCCATGACAATACTGTACGTTATTATCATTGGTTGTGTTAGTTTTGCCAGCATCTGAATCTAAACAGTTTACATCAAGATGAGAATCCTTGGCTCCTATTTCTTCCTATTTTCTTGTGTTTTCTTTATCATTCTAAATTATGATTGTTAATTATAATAATAATAATGGATTTATAATTAATACAAATTATTATATGTAATAATAATTATAATATGTAATAATAATTACTTGTGTAATAATAATTAATTATAATATATAATAATATTTAACTCAAGATAACTCAAGATATAATAATAATTCACCACTAATAATAATTAGTAGAAGGCAGTTAGGAAAATAAAAGTATTGTAAGATCAAAAGTTTTTGATAACCTTTCTAAGAATTTTTTTTATGAATTTTGGGGTGAAATTAGAAAAATAAAAAAGTTCATGCCGAAGGTAACAAATGTCATGGATGATGCTTCTGGGCCCAATAATATATGTGATGTTTTCAAAGATAAATATTCCACATTGTACAATGGTTCGAGATATAATGCAGTTGAGATTGAAACTGACCTAACTACTGTACAGCTACATGCGAGACCTGTATGCACTCTGCTCTTAATGTTAAACACCTATGCAGTGTAACCCTTGTATTGGTTGTGAAAGCAGTAAGACAGCTAAAAAAAATTGGTGTTATGATAGCCTCTTTAACATATACTCTGACAACCTTAAACATGGGATGCTAAAACTGTATGTTTATGTGTGTTTCTTTTAGGCTTTCTCTCCCATGGTACATGCCATCTGTAATAAACACCTTTGTACTTGTTCCCATTCCAAAGAACTGTTGAGCTTCTATGTCCACCTCTGTTAACTACAGAGCTATTGCCTTAAACACACTATTAAACAAAGTATTTGATTATATACTCATTATTTTCTAGCTGATGAACTGTACACCTCTGACTTTCAGTTTGCATACAAATCTGGTTACTCAACAACGTTCTGTAGTTTCATGGTGGCAGAAGCTATTCAGTACTACAACTCACAAGGTAGCTCTGCTCTCTCTTTGTTTCTTAATGCTTCCAAAGCTTTTAACAAAGTTTAACACGCCAATCTTTTTAGGAATTGCTTAACAGAAAAGTATGTCCTGTCATTGCTAGATATCTATATATTTCTCATAAAGTATACAAATTAGCTGTGAGATGGAGAAATGTTCTCTTTGAATATTTCTCACAAAAAAATGGAGTCAAACAAGGTTCAGTTTCTGTGGGGATCCCCTATGGCTCCCTGGAGCTTATCGGGCTAAGATATGGTATATTAGACCGGGACATTAGCTAAGGAGTTCAGACCTACCAGGGACCAGTTCCAGAACCTGGCCCCTTCAGAGAGGTTTCAGGGAGCAATGGCCCTGGAAAACCACTTTGTGGTTGGGGTTTTCCTTATCTGCTATCGACTGGGGTTAGGCACCCACAAAGGTAGGCATAACAAAACAAACCCCCATATGGTAAGAAACTAAAACAAAAAACCAAACAGAGAGCTAGAAACTCTCTACTATCCCAAGGAAACAAGTAAACAAGCAAATATCACACTTTACTGCCTCGCCGCTTGTCCGCACAGCCCTCCCCTTCCCAAGAGGGGGAGGGCCCCAGGAGCTCACCGCACCTGCTGCCGAGCCCCATGTTCTCAACCTAATGTCAACCGGGACAGATGCCTCTTGTTGGTTTCCTACTCGGATGCCCCGGGGCCACCCTGTTTTGGGTAGCTGCTGTTCGCTCCTTTCCCTCCCTGTTCCCGGCTCCTGACCCTCTGCGGGTTTCTGGGTCTGGGCAGGGTTTAGTTGGGGCAGAGACTCAGGCGGTTTCGGGGGCTGCCCCGTTTGGGTTGGGGACGGAGGTTTTCGATCCTGTTCCTCCTGCCAAGGCTTCTGGGTCTTGCCAGCGGTCCTTTCTTGCTGCCTTTTCCCCTGGATTCTTCCTTTTCTTTAAGGGCAGAGGGTGTGGAGGACGGCTTTGCCCTGGGGCCACTGTTGCGGGTTCCCGGGGCTGTGGGGAAGGCCTGCTAGCAGTTCTGGGACTGTTTGCCACTACCTGGGTTTTCTGCTTCTGGGCGGGGTTTCTCGTCCATCTAGTCTGCTTACTTCTCACATTTGCTGGTGTGTTTTCGTATTTATTGTGTCGGTCATGGCTCCCTGTTTCTGGTGGCCATTTTCTTCTGTGGGTTTCCCCGCTTGGCAACCAGGGTAGCGCTGCGGTTTGTTTATATGCGCCTGGGTGTGCAAGCTAGCGTCTTGGGTGAGTTCTTCACCTCTTTCAGGGCTTTTATCCTCCTGTTGCCATTTCTTTGCTTTTCTAGTGTTTTATGCCAGAGCAGTTTGCTGAGCAGTTTAAGGGTTAATAAAGGTATCTGCCTGGAAGATATCCCTCATAACTCCCTCCAAACCCAAAGGAGAGTGGCTATTGGGAATACTTACATCCATCCATTTATTCATATCTATTTTTAATTCACTTAGAATAATTTTTCTTGTAAATCTATCCTCAGAAGTAAAGCTTTTGTTGGCAGCAAAAGTATTCAGTTCTAATTAATACTCTGAATGTTTGCAAATTTGCAAACATTATGGTGTTTTCAAATTTGATACTTTGTCTGCAGTGTTTTCAAGCATATCATGGGCTAATATTAAGGCTCAGGGGTTTTAGAGGTCTAACAGGTCCTTTGTGGCTCATTACCTGGTCCCTGTCAGGCTTGTGTTGCGCAGGGTCAGGTTTCTCGGGTTTTAATCTTAGAGTTTGTTTTTGCTCTCCTCCTCCCTGGTAAGTCCCATGTTTTCCTTTTACACTCTTATTACCTAGCTTTAGGGAGCCACCATTCAACCCCTCCAGAAAATCAGCATTGAAATTAATGAAGTGCCTCTTTCTGGTGGGGGCCTTAGTATGCCCTTCTTTCCTCCCTGCACTCTTTTGTAGGTACTTTGGTTCATGGTCTTTCAGCTCTGGACTGAGGTTCAGATGATGTGGAAGCTGGGAGCTCCCACTGGTGGAGGCACCTGTTGGTCTTCAGCCATAACTAATAGGGGTTTGATCTTACAATTGGATGAATCTTTTGTGGAGCAATTTGCTGGTTCAGTTGTTCTCTCTGTGAGCCATGCAGTTGTCAGTATTGCTTCACTTACTTTCTGGATGTTTTCTTGATGAGGGTGATCATAATAACCAGCTCTCTCTTTGCCTCTGTGAGGGAGTCAGGTTCTGGCTCTGGTCCCCGGTAGACTATTGAGGACTCCTAAGGTAGATGTGACACATGTGTGGAGCTCTCTCAGGAAGCTAACATCAGGAAACCACCGAGGCCCCACCAGAAAGAGGCATCCCATTACATTCAGTGGTTTGTTTTCTTGATTCAGGGTTGATCTTTTATCTGCAAGCTCTCTTCACCTTGGAGAAAACCAGATTCTGGTCCTGGTTTCTGGTAGGCAAGAGTGGATCTCAGCGGCTGGTGCATCTCCCTAAGGCCTCGTGGACTATCACCTAGCTCAAGGAGCTACTGTGGATCCAACCAGAAAAGGCCATTTCATTACATTGATCGCTTGACATTTACTTTTGGAAAATCTTAATTTTAAGTGTTAACTAGATTTTGTGCTTGTGGGGTTTACAGTGACATTAATAATAATTATGTTTCAGGTGTGTATTGAGATGACACCTAATGGCCCTGTTGAAGTATTTGACAACTGCAGCAGCAGTATGGGTCAAAACGGCAGTGAGGGTCGAGTAGAAATGGACAAGACTCCTATATTTGATTTAAGTGCCATGATGGACTCGGCTCAAAAGAATGAAGGCAGAGGAGAAAATCCTTCGGAATATAACATGGAAAATGAATGGGGTCATGAGCACAAGAACCATGAGCATGATGAGCATCTCCATTATCATATAGGAGAAGATGGCTTTTTTTGTAATCCTGTTGGTATGTAAGGTGTTGTATTATTTGTTAAAGTGCTATATGATTATCTATGGACTTTCAGCTTCATCTTTTTTTCAGTTTGAGAATGTGATCTTGTTTTAAAGTGCCACTGAAAATGTTCTCCATATCTAATTTTATTTATTAGATTGTGCAACGCATCCTATGGGCAGTAGTTGTTGTTACCCCATAACCATCATAGAGCAGTAATGGTTGTCACCCCATACCCATCCTTTGGGCAGCAGTGGCAGGCCCTATGGACTATAGTAGTCAAGCCATACCCTCCTTGAGGTCCAGTTGGCCACCACTAGGTGGCAGGACCATGGGAGTTGCCAGCTTCCAATGCCAGTATTGATCAGTCCTTCACCTGATAACTGACAAGTCATCAGCTTTTTGAATCCAAGGTTTTCGAAATACAGTAGCTCTGTTCCCCAATCGCAAGATTTTTGCTGAGGATGCCTATTGGCTCTACCAGTCAAGGTGAGGATTCCTCTGGCTCTTTCCACTTGTTTGAATGTCGTTCCAGGTTTTGTCCAGACTTAGAGACTTACACTGGCCGGGGTATTTCTTCTGGCTCCTTGGTGGCTGACTCAGCCCCTCTGACTTGGTTTCCAAATCTGGGCATATTTCTGCAGTTCTGCCTCTTTCACCAGATCTCTCTGGAGACATTCCTCATTGGGTTGAGGTTCTCTTCCGTTCTTCATATCTTTTGTTTCTGACACTGGTTAACACTTTGGCGTACCCCGCGCGCCACCCCTCAACTGTGCGATTTGGGTCCCAGGGTTTCACGGGAGCGCGCGTAAATTCTGAAAAGTGTATACTCTCTTCAACTTTGTCACCTTAATTCTCGTCCTATGAGATTAAATTTGGTATCATTGTGTTCGCAATAGAATTCTCTACAGCACTAAATGCATATAAACTCCAAAAGCCCAGCTAATTACCCGCAGCAAACAGAGAAAGTGCGAATGAGTTACCCAGGAGCGCGCAAACGCGATAAAATGTTTTCACTATTTTCACTCTGGTCAACTCAATTTTTATCCTAGGTCTTTCATTTTGGTCTCAATGGGTTCGCAATTGAATTCTCTAGAGGAACATTAGCATATAAAATAAAAAACCTGGTCACGCTCCAACCGCCGACGAGTTGAAGACTGGCCATGCGTTAGCCGCGAGTGAGCGCTCAGACGCCTTCCAGCTACACTCCCAATTCCCGCCCTTTTCAAGCCTTTCTTTCGCAATTTTCATCCTGGAAGGGCCTTGTTCATGATCACTATCCATCGTGGAGTAAGCGTAGATAGTTTCTAAAGCCGCAGTAAGAAATATAGCCACGCAAAATAGCTGAAATGTTCACATGTTTGAGATGCGAGGGGAGGCGACACCGGTCACAACAGTGGAGCGAAAACAATGGGCGACGGCGTGTGCCGAGCCGCCTGCGGGTCACAAGGCGCAACAAAGAAAATGGGAAGACATCGGCGCGCATTTTAAAACCAGTCCCCAAAAAATCGGATAAAAACCTGATTTTTGGCGATTATTTAAAGTGGATGACGCAATGCTGCGTCATGCCCGTCATTACTGACAGTAAACGGATGACGCAATGCTGCGTCATGCCCGGGCGAAAGTGTTAATCACTATATGTAATTTTTTTTTTTTTTTTTTTGCAAGGATATTCCTGCATGGGCCGTAAGCCTCTGGCTGGCCCACTAAGTGCTGCTTGTTTCTGTTTTACGGAGTACGAGTATTTATGACTCGTATGGTCGCTTCAGTAAGATTTTGGCCCATGTATTTAACAACAACTTCTGATCTGTTGAATCAAAGTTGAAATCTTAATGGGTTTGTAACTGTGCACTGTGTTAGATAATGTTCCAGTGATCTGTCAGGCATTTCTCCACAGTTTTGACATTTCCTCTCATCTTCTGGAACCTGTAAGCCTATTTCCCATGCACATGGGTATCCAAGCCTGATGCGATGTAAGTGTACTTCTGTTGTTCTAATGCTCCCTTTCATCAAATAAAGTGGTTCATAGTTGGTTGAGTTCTTGTACCAACCCACAGAGCCAGATGTTGCAACTGCTGTATTCACCTAGTTGTGTTTGCAGGGGTTGAACTTTGCTCTTTCAGCCCGCCTCTCAACTGTCAATCAACTGTTTACTAACTACTTTTTTTTTTTCTCCACACCACACCACACACATGCACACCCCCCCAGGAAGCAGCCCGTGACAGCTGACTAACTCCCAGGTACCTATTTACTGCTAGGTAACAGGGGCATTCAGGGTGAAAGAAACTTTGCCTAGTTGTTTCTGCCTGGTGCGGGAATCGAACCCGTGCCACAGAATCACGAGTCCTGCGCACTATCCACCAGGCTACCAGGCCCCCCCACCAGGCTGCTGTGTTGTGGTCACAGTACATCTTTTGCATTGCTCTGTTTCTTAATTTATTAATCTGTGATAGACTCTGTGGTATGTAAATGTTTACATTTCTTCTTAGTTGCAAGTTTTGCAGCTTCGTCTGCAATATCATTTCCAATTATTCCCACATGACTTGGCACCCAGTTGGTAAGTACCCGTCGGCCTTGTTGTTTGAGTGTTTGCATTAATGATATGACATTTGTGATCAGATAGACGTTATCACGTATGTGTTCTTGTTGCAAGGTTTCAATGGCAGTTCTCGAATCTATATGTATGATAACATGTTTTGGTGTTCAGCAAGATTATGTTCCAAAGCCTTTTGAATGGCTAGCATCTCTGTTTGTAAAGTCGAACACCCATTTGAGAGTTTCCAACTATTTACAGAGTTTCCTGCTTTAACTGCAGCTCTGGTTTCTTGTCCCTGCTGGTCTACTGATCCATCTGTGAAGTATGTGAAGCTATCAGATGCCAAGTTTGCTTTTATATGCATCTGTACAATATTACGTAGCAGATGAGGATTAGTCTGATTCTTTTTTCCTTCAAGAGCCACAATCTTAAAGTCTGCTGGCAGCGATTTCCAAGGGGCTTGGATGACAAAATCTGCATGTATTTCGTCGACACCCCTCTCAGTGATTGTGTTTATTATATATTATCTGGCCTGCTCATGTGCTGCCTGAGCTATCCTGGTCATTGGACTGGGTGCTCTCCTTATTCTCTTCTCGGTTTGTGGTGGCCCCTTCGGTTCAGGATTGTTTTTCTAAAGCTCTTTCTCCTGTTGGCATTGGCCAGGGAGCTTCAACAGATTTTGCAAAAGCTTTTGACAAATGTGACCATGGTGTTATTGCACACACAATGTGTGCAAAAGGAATTACTGGAAAATTAGGCAGATGGATCTACAATTTCCTGACTAATAGAACCCAATGTGTAATAGTCAACAAAATAAAATCCGGACCATCATTCGTGAAGAGCTCAGTCCCCCAGGGTACTGTGCTTGCCCCAGTACTTTTTCTCATCCTCATATTGGACATAGATAAGGACACAATCTATAGCACTGTATCATCCTTTGCGGATGACACTAGGATTTTTGTGAGAAAAGACAACATACAGAGCACAGCGAACCTCCAATCAGATGTAAATCAGGTCTTTCAATGGCTACAGAAAATAATATGGTATTTAATGAAGATAAGTTCCAGCTCTTGCTCTATGGGAAAAATGAAAATATAAAGGCAGAAACCACATAAAAAATGCAGTCAAATCATAGCATAGAATGAAAAAGCAATGTAAAGGATCTGGGTGTACTCATGTCAGAAGACCTTACCTTTAAAGAACACAATAAAGTAGTCGTTACAACTTCAAGAAAAATGACAGGTTGGATAACTAGAACATTTTAAACAAGAGATGCTATGCCAATGATGATGCTCTTCAAGACACTAGTGCTCTCCAGGATGTGCAGAATACCCCCATTGAAGAGGAGAGATGCAATAGGTACTCTGAGAGAGAACTCTATCAACATCAGAGGCCCCAAGACTGTACAACAGGCTTCGACTACACATAAAGGGCATAACTGGCCGACCCCTCACAGTGTTCGAGAGAACTCGATAAGCTCCTCCAAAGGATACCGGATCAACCAGGCTGTGATTCATATATTAAGCTGCGAGCAGCCTCGTTCAACAGCCTGGTTGACCAGTCCAGCAACGAGGAGGCCTGGTCGACGACCGGGCCACGGGGACGCTAAGCCCCGAAAACACCTCAAGGTAGCCTCTAGGGGATCGGGTCGGGGAGCTTCATGCTCTCCTTCAATGTAGGAATTTCTGCTCTTTTGACCCTGGTGGTAGGTTTGTTCATTTGCAGCTGACTCCTCCTTTTTTGGTGTAGCCTGAGTCTGCTGCTTTCTGGAGGGGTCCTTGGGTGGTTGATGCTTGGTGCATCATGTGTCGTGTCCGGTAGCTGCCAGTTGTCTCGACTTGGAGTTGAGGAGCGAGAGCTGATTGCCTCCTGGGTAAGTCCCTATTGTTTGGTTTTGTCTTTGGGTAAGTAGCTCCAGGGAGCCGCAGGGGCTCCCCTCCCCAGAAAACCAGCGTTGAATATAGTGAAACACCACTTTCTGGGTGAGACCTGGAAACTCCCCGACAACCCTCCCTCCCTTCGGTCGGTGTTTTTTTCGCATGTTTTGATCCAGCCTCCAGCAGGAGATGTGGTGACGTCATGCTCGATTCCTTGTTTTCATTTGGGGAGTTCTGTACACTAGTTTGGCTTTCAGTAGCAATGTTAACCAGAATAGGGATTTGTTTTGGGGCGCTTACCTTTCTGGGTGCCTGACTCGGTCGATGGCAGACATAGAATACTTCCAACCACATGGGAAGGGGGAGGGGGGTTCTATAGGCCATTGTGCCTTGTGCCTCTCTGAGGGGGGCCAGGTTCTGGCTTGTGGTCCCTGGTAGGCCTAGAACTCCATGCTCATTGACTGATACCAAAGTCTAATATATATCCATATCAGCCTGGAGTCATAAACACTCACACTCTGCCTAAGTAAAACAGAAACAAGCAACACTTAGTGGGCCAACCAGAAACTTAGGCCCATGCAATAATTTCCCTGCCAAAAAAAAAAAAAAAAAAACAGCTCCGTGGAGCCTCCAGGTCTCACCCAGAAAATGGCGTTTCATTACATTCAACGCTGATTTTTTCACCTCTAGTCTGCGCATTCTCCTTCTAAACCATTTTGGTTTCTGGATAGGGTATTTGGTTTTCTTTTGTCCCATCAGCTCTAATTCACACCTGCAGTCCATGATTCCTTGTTCTAGGCTTAGTTTTTGTTAACCCTTGCTTTTGATTGTAGGGTTGGGGAGCTTCATGCTCTCCTCTGGTAATGGAAAGTTTTGTTCTTTCAGCCCTGGTGGGTGGTTTCTTTATCTGCAGCCTTTTTTTCCTTTTCTGGTGAAGAATGAGACTGTTGCCTTCCAAAGGGATTCTTTAGTCATTGATTTTTAGTTCATTCATCTGGGAGTGCATCATTTGTTGTGTCCAGGTGCAAGTGTTCGTCACTACCTGTGAGTGACTTGGACTACTTTGGGGGGAGGGGACTCATTGTTTGCTGATCCAGTCTCCTTGGTCTCCCTGTTCCAGGCTCATTTGTCTCAGGTCATTTGCAGTATCATAAAATTTTGACAGCTTGCAATCTTCCCTCAGGCCCACGATGTTCAGTAGTTTGCAACTTTGACCGCTGTACTTTTTCAACCCGTTCTCGCAAATTTAATAAGTCAATATTGACTTATTAGTTGCGTGCATAGGTGACATACTAAACATAATAGTTTCCCCTTGAAAAGCTTCATAGAAAACACCGACCGTACCTAACCTACTTAGTTGTTAAAATAAGCATCTTATAGCTTCGTAATTACAATTGTTACTTAACCTATTATAGGTATAGGTTAGGTAATAATTGTAATTACGAAGCAATAAGATGCTTATCTTAACATACTAAGTAGGTTAGGTAAGGTCGGTGTTTTCTATGAATCTTTTCAAGGGAAACTATTATGTTAAGTATGTCACCTATGCACATATTTAATAAGTCAATGTTGACTTATTAAATTTGCGAGAACGGGTTGCCTTTTTAATGTCTTGGGCCCAGCTTAGGAATTTTGGAGGTCTAAGAGGATCCTGGTGGTTCATTTCTTTTTGAGCTTGTGTTGCCTTGTGTAGGGTTTCTCTTTCTGGTGTCTCCCATTTGAAGATTTGATCTTTGCTCTCCTCCACTGGTGTGTCCTGTTTTTCCTTTCTTTGTGATTTAGTTAGTAACAGGGTTAGTTAGTAACCATTTTGGCCTCTTGAGAAAATCAGCATTGAATATAATGAAATGCCTTTTTCTGGTGGGACTTCATTGACTCCATGGACTTCTCTCCTTCCCTACCAGGCGAGTTGATTGGTCTTTTTCTCGCATGGCGCTGCTATCTGGCACTTGCCAGCTGTAATATGGTAGGGGGCATGACTTAACAACTGGGTGGATTGTTTGCTGCATTGTTTGCTGCATTGTTTACTTTCTGTGAACCTCTCAGTTGTCACTTTTGCTTCAGTTTTTTTCTAGGGGTATGTTTCTTTGGTGAGGGTGATTATGAATCCTCTTTCCTATGCTTTTGTGAGAGGGGCCAGGTTTTGGCCTCTGGTCTCTGACAGGCTACTGATAAGGACTCTGAGGGCTGATAAGTGGGAAGCTATCTTGGTGCAGCTAGCAATAGGGATTCACCAGTGCCCCCTTAGAGGCATTTGTTTACATGCAATTCTGTTTTTTTCTTATTTTATAAAAAAAAGTCTCAATACCAGTACAAAAAAGGGTTTCCAATCAAGACCTGGATATTTGTAGGATTTTAGTATTATACATATTTTGTTTCATGGTTATCAATAGACATTATCTTATAAATGTTAATTTTCATTTTGACAGTTCCTGAGTATGGGCATATGATTGTCAAGAGCACAGTACCGAGAGACACCTTAATTACATTAAAGCATTTAAAAGCAATTTGTGAACTTGATGACCGATTACGTTCTCCAGCCGAGTTTGGAACAATATGTGAAACCTGGACCCCTGGACGTTGCTGTCCTTCCTGGTCACTTCCAAACTATGTGGCACTACTGTCTAACCGTACGTCTTGTCACTATATAACGGTGAGGAAAGTAATATACTACATATTGTATTACATGCATTCAGGAAATGCTAATTTAACATTCTGCTTATGTATAAAATATAGCTCTTTTTGTCTTATATCTGTTCAGTTAACATTTTTACTATATAAATACCCTGTAGATAATGTAATAACATTATTACTATATAGATAAATTATTACTATATAGATAGATAATGGACTGGGTGTCCTTGAAAACACTAGTTTTAGGTGTACATCTTTCACACAGTTTCTCTGTCCAGACTCAGCCATTAATTTTGCTTACATATTAAATACTGTCTTCTCATGCAGTGGATTGTTTTAATCCTTGCATGTTTTTCTTTTTTTTGTGCCTCTTCTGTTTTATCTTCTCAGTGATAACAATAAAGGAAGGTGACTGAAAATATATGTGGAGAAAATATTTCCCAGGTTCCCCCTTTTCAAGTAAAGAAAGTTTTCTGAAGGAATACAGGATGATGTAAGCAAATGCAGTACAGTATAAATATGGAAGATTTAATGATACATTGAATGACTATTTTCATTTAAATGTAAATATATGCCAGGGTTGTTATGCTATAATGGTTGCTCGGTGTATGCTTAGTAAAGTCTGGCCACAGGCCGGGCTTGGGGAGTAGAACTACTCCCAAAACTCTTTCAAGTTACGCTACAGGTATAATGTTATAAAATGTAAACTTTGTTTGGAGGAAAATGAGAATATTCAATTTTATATTTGCAAACAATGGAGTTGTAACAGGAAATTCAAGCAATAAATGTGAGTTAATTTAAAGTTTTCCAATGTTTACTTGGAGAGAATGCTGAAATTACTGTAGATAAAGTAATGAAATTGGAAACATATGGATATTTTGTGAAATCAGAGAAAATTGGTAAATGCTGGAATCTCTTGATGACTTAAAATATCTGGGTTGTGTAGTTGACAGAAAGTAGAATTTGTGCAAGTAGAATTGAGTCAAAGAAGGAAAATAGCTGGTGCAATAAAAGCTTAGTTTGGGGAGAATAAGATAGGGTGGAATATGGCTAGATATATGCATGAAAGACTGCCTGTACCAACCTTACACACAAACAATGTGGAAAACTCAGTGACATACAGAATTATCAGTGTGTACTAGGAGGGTACAGTAATGTTGAATGAATGGACGATGATAAGGTGGTTAAGAAAATGTTTTCAAGTGAACTTAAGAATTGGAGAAATGGCAGAAAGCAAGAAGATATGTACCAGTAGATATGGTGAGCAAGCAATTGAGAGGAAGCATGGAATGAGTGTGACAATAAGCAAGAAGTGACAGTGAGCAGAGCTGAATGGAGGTAGTTACAAAGTACAGAATTATTTACATTTTATACATTACTACTTATTGGGAGTACATTACACCTATTCTACGAACCCTTAGACAGCGTTTATCATCATATGTTGATTCACGGGGTAATGCAGTTATTGTCATATGATTTAAACAATTATTGTCTGGGTTTTACTTGTATGATGCAAATAGGGATATAATAGTTCTGTGGGATGTAATAGTTTACCTTGACCCATGACAAAAAAATCCTGCTATTGTTTCAAGGTTACATTACTATGTGAATGAGGTTATCGTCATTGTATAAAATTCTATCATAATTATCGGATGTGTGTATACCAGTGATGTTTGTATGTTTTCTAACTTCGAAGGTTCGGGGCCGTCATTTTGCCACATACTGTTGCCTCGTATTGTGCGGCGCTGGCGGAGTCGTTTCCATTTGCTTTTGGTGTTGTTGTAACTTCTGCGCCGTTTCGCAAGCTGCATCTTGCATTGTTTCACCTCCAGCCTGCTCATGCACCACCTGAGCCGCCCTAGTCATTGGACAGAGTGCTCTCTTTTCTTCCCCTCGGTTTGTTGTGGCCCCTTTGGTTCAGGATAGTTTCTCCAAGGCTCTTTTTCTATTGGCATTGGCCTCTGGGGGTCGGGTTGGGGAGCATCATGCTTTCCTCTGGCTCAGGGGTTTCTGCTCTGTCGATCTTTGTGTTGGTTTTGTTCATCTGTAACCGTCTCCTTCTTTTCTGGTGAAGATTGAGACTGCTGCTTTCTGGAGGGGTTTCTGGGTTCTTGATGCTTGGTTGGTTAGACCGGGGGTGCATCATGTTTTGTGTCTGGTTGCGGCTCTTCGCCGTTATTTGCGCACCACGGCTTCTGTGTCCAGGGACGCACTTTGGGTTGATCCGGTTTCCCTTCTTCCCTGTCTTTGGCAACATGTCCTGGGCTGACATTCAGGCGTGGGGATTTTTGCATTCAAACAGGGTCCTGGCTGCTCATTCTCTAGTGAACGTCCCTGGGCCTATTCAGGCCTGTGTAGCTTTGGGTCGGCGGTTGCAGCCAGTTGTCTCAACTTAGAGTTGAGGAGTGCGCAATGACCACCTACCGGGTACGTCCCTATGTTTTTCCTCTGTGGGTAATTAGCTCTGGGGAGCCACAAGGGCTCCCCCCAGAAAACCAGCACATTGAATGTAATGGAATGCTATTTTCTGGGTGAGACCCGGAGGCTCCCCGGCATCCCTCCCTCCCCTCCGGTCAGCGTTTTTTTTGCGTGTTTTGACATCCAGCCTCGGAACTGAAGAATGGATAGCCGGCGCGAGGGGTCTGGGGTTCCCCCTTCCCCCTCCCGGGGAGGGGGCAGCTGCGCAGACAGCGGCGCAGCGACGTGTGACGTCATGCTCATTTCTTATAGGGGAGTTCTATCCACTTGTTCAGCTTTTGGTAGCAATACTTTGACCAGAATAGGGGTTTGTTTTGGGATGCTTACCTTTCTGGGTGCCTGACCCAGTCGATGGCAGACATAGAATGCTTCCAACAACACGGGGGATTCTATAGGCCATTGCTCCCCATGCCTCTCTGAGGAGGTCAGGTTCTGGGCACTGGTAGGCCCACAGAACTCCATGCACATGATTCTGCCAAAGTCTGACATTAGCATATCAGCCTAGTAAGCTCCGGGTCTCGCCCAGAAAATGGTGTTTCATTGCATTCAACGCTGGTTTTTTCGCTTGCATCCGTCTCCTTCTTTTCTGGAGAAGACTGGCATGGCTGCTTTTCGGAAGGGTCCTTGGGTTGTTGATGCTTGGTTGGTCTGGCCGGGGGTGCATCTTGTGCTGTGTTCGGTTATGGTGATTCGCCGTTCTTTGCGTGCCACGGCTGCCATGACAGGGGTCACGCTTTGGGTTGTTCCGGTTTCCCTTCTTCCCTGTTCCAGGGTGCGGTTCTCTCGGGTCACCCGCGGGGTGGTTCGGTCCTACTAGCCTGCTGTGTCTTTCCGTGCCCGTGTCGTTTATAGGTTGGCTATACGTTCCTTTGTTGATGTTCCTAGGCCTTGTCGGGCTTGTGTGGGTTACTGGGACACCTAGCTTTCTGGGTGCCTAACTCAGTCGATGGCAGACATAGAATGATTCCAACCACACGGAGGTTTCTATAGGCCATTGCTCCTCGTGCCTCTGTGAGGGGGGGGCCAGGTTCTGGCTCATGGTTCCCTGTAGGCCTACAGAACTCCATACACATGACTGATGCCAAAGTCTGACATTAGCATATCAGCCTGGATAGCTCTGGGAGCCTCCGGGTTTCACCCAGAAAATGGCGTTTCATTACATTTAACGCTGGTTTTTTATTCTTTGTGTACTCACCTAGTTGTGTTTGCGGGGGTTGAGCTCTGGCTCTTTGGCTCTTTGGTTTGGTGTGTGCGTAGTCAGGAATGATCATTTTTATATAACTGCTGTCCAAGGATTAAGCTACTGATGTTATGTTGTGCATTGTTTTCTGGAATATGTTGGGTTAGTTTTCTGTGGTATTGCCAAGGGGTGTAAAGTATTCTGAAATGACAGGTGTCTTTGAAATTCTTTATACCTATACATTTAATTTTTGTTTCCTATATTGCTCTTATCTTATATTTGCTCCAGTCTTTTGCCTTCCTGCTTCAGTGAGTTGGGGTCGTCATGATAATGATGGTTATACTGTATATTATTATTAATTATTAATTATCATTATCAATTATTATTATTAATTATTATTATTATTATTAATTATTATTATTATTAATTATTATTATTATTAATTATTATTATTATTCATTTTTTATTATATACACATTTCACAAATAATTTGATTTATATAACAGCAAGATGATGTTGTCAATGTGCGTCGCTTGCTGAGAAGGTGCGCACGCCGTTTAGACCTTCAAATAGAGCGTGGTTGTAATGGACCCACAGGATGTCAGCGAGTTCCTCAAGAGTGCCTGCACCATGATGCTGTATACACCATTCTTCATTATCTTGTTGATGCTGCTTTTCTGAATCCAGAGGTATTAAAATAATTAATAATTTGTTTTTGGACTGTATAATTAAATTTATTAAATATTTTATGCAATGCTTCCAGCAATCTCATAATTTAAAGGCCCCTGCCTATGTAAATGCATGTATCTGTTCCATAAATTACAAAAGTAACAAAAATTTGTGTGCTATTAATAAGAGTTAATTTAATCCCTGCACTGCACACCTTTTAAAATGACATTCCCATTGTGCGCCAGAAATAAATTCTTCCAGATTTTTTTTTCTTTTTATATTGTTAATTAGTACGCAGGAAGCATGAAAATCTAAGTAAAAATCTCTACCTCTTGTAGTTTAGCTGTAGTGGCCTGGAGAAGTTGCGTTTTTTTAGTAAATATGAAGCGAGTTGCCTCATTGGAATGACTTTGTTGATTTATTTTCAATGTTTCTCACTTTATTTATTTAGTTTTTTATTCACTCTAACAAGTTGTATCTGTGTTTAAAAGATGGTGTTCATTATGTATAACTTTGAATATATATAATATATATATATATATATATATATATATATATATATATATATATATATATATATATATATATATATATATAACACACACACACACACACACACACACACACACACACACACACACACACACACACACACACACACACACACACACACACACACACACACACGAAAACTTAGCTTATTAGGCAAATCGGGCCTTGCATAATAGGTCGAGTACAACGTTCTAGCTACTAGGTACAACATATATATGTAAATATATAAAATATACAGTGGTACCTTCATTTACAAATTTGATACATTACTAGAGATGGCTTGTAACCCTAAAATTCGTAACCAGAAACAAATTTATTCTATAAGAAATAATGCAAATAGAATTAATCTGTTCCACACTCCCAAAAATATTAACTTCAAAATACATTTCGTACATAATAAACACACATATTTTGTACTATAGTATGTACAAGTTATAGCATACCTTTATCGATATACTCTTGTTGGCGTATGGAAGACAGTGAGGAGGAGGAGGAGGAGGGGAGGAAGAGGAGCGGCGTTGGTGTTTTTGGAAGAGAGGTATTGGGAGGCAGCGAGACCGTCCCCTGCTCACCTTAAATGCTTTCGAATCTGCATCACTGGTTCCAGATTTTCCTTTCACACATTTCACTGCCTCTGTTATGTGGCAGCCAGTCAGAACCATTCAGTTACAGTCACAACATGTCAGTCATGCATTCAGTCAAGACCAATCACAGACAGTCATAACCAAAGGCAGACAAGCATTCACAGTTGTATTAGCACAACCTGTCCTCTTAAAAAGAATGTCACTTTTGGCCGTTTGCCTGTATGGCCGAATATGGACGTAATTTGAAAATGAAAAATAAAATTAATATAAATTTGGGATTTTTTTTTCAACAATAGTAAGTTAAGGGACATCTGATAGGTTAGGTGGGCAGGAAATTCTCATAGAGTTTGAAAACGGTATGAAAAACGTTAATGGAAAGAATCCTTTTCTAAGCTTGCCGAATAAGCCAGACGACTCAAACAGAAAACGGAACAGTACGTCACTTTTGTGAGTCGATTTCATTTCAAATTACGTCCAAATTTGGCCATAGCGCGCATACCAGCGAAAAGTGACGTTATTTTTAAGAGGACGGGTTGATTAGCGACAGGTTAGGCATTTATGGTCAGTCTCGCATTTACAATCAATTAACCATTCACAGTCAATCAGGCATTCACAGTCAATCAGGCTTTCACAATCAGCCTTTCACAGTCAATCAGTCTTTCACAGTCACAACCAGTCAGTTAGTAAAAAATAAGAGTTTAATGACAAGCACTGAGGAAGTCTGTCTCCTGATCCATCAGCTGGTAGCAAAAAAAAAAAAAAACACCGTTTTAATACTGTCCATATGGCTGGGAGGGGTACAGCTGGGGGGCCCCGGGGTGGGGGATGAGGGGATGGAGGTAGCGGGGAGGGTGCAGGATGGGGGGGATGGAGGTAGCGGGGAGGGTGCAGGATGGGGGGGGGGATGGAGGTAGCGGGGAGGGTGCAGGAGGTGGGTGGGGGATAATGGTAGTGGGGAGGGGTGGGGGGATGTGTGGGGGATGGAGGTAGTGGGAAGTGTGACCAGCTCTGCCAACCATCTCACTACTGCCTGCCTGCACACTGACACCTGCCTGACCACTGCTGCCTGCCAATCCACCTACTTTGCCACCTGCCCCTCCACCATCCATCAATCCAGTGCCCCTCCACCATCCAGTGCCCCGCTGCCATCCATCCATTCAGTCCCTCTCCACCATCCATGCATCCAGTCCCCCTCCACTATCCATCTATCCAGTCCTTCTCCACTATCTATTTATCCAGTCCCCCCCCCCCCACTATCCATCCATCCAGTCCCCACCCCACCATTCATCCATTCATCCAGTCTCCTCACCATCTATCCATCCAGTCCCCTCATCATCCATCCATTCAGTTCCCCTCACCATCCATCCATCCACATCCCTCCACCATCAATCCATCCATCCATCCAGATCCCTCCACCATCCATCCATCCATTTCCCCTAACCATCCATCCAGTCTCCCTCACCATCCATCCATCCATCTAGTCCCCATCACCATCGATCCAGTTCTCCTCACCATCCATCCAGTTCTCCTCACCATCCATCCATCCATCCAGTTCCCCTCACCATTTATCCAGTCCCCCCCCACCATCCATCCAGTTCTCCCCACCATCCATCCATCCAGTTCCCCCTCACCATCTATCCATACATCCAGTTCCCTCCACCATCCATCCATCCAGTTCCCTCCACCATCCATCCATCCAGTTCCCTCCACCATCCATCCAGTTCCTTCCACCATCCATCCAGTTCCATCCATCCATCCATCCATCCATCCATCCATCCATCCATCCAGTTCCATCCATCCATCCATCCAGTTCCTTCCATCCATCCATCCATCCAGTTCCCTCCATCCATCCATCCAGTTCCCCCCACCATCCATCCATCCAGTCCCCTCACCATCCAGTCCCCCCTCACCATCCAGTCCCCCCTCACCATCCAGTCCCCCCTCACCATCCAGTCCCCCCTCATCATCCAGTCCCCCTCATCATCCAGTCCCCCTCATCATCCAGTCCCCCTCATCATCCAGTCCCCCTCATCATCCAGTCCCCCTCATCATCCAGTCCCCTCACCATCCAGTCCCCCCTCACCATCCAGTCCCCCCTCATCATCCAGTCCCCCTCATCATCCAGTCCCCCTCACCATCCAGTCCCCCTCACCATCCAGTCCCCCTCATCATCCAGTCCCCCTCATCATCCAGTCCCCTCACTATCCATTCACCCAGTCATTTCAACATCCATCCTGTTGTCCTCCCAAATACAATATTCAAGTGCAATCGTCACTAGGTGGGAGACACTGGTAAACTCTGCGTGCCTCGTTCCACCCCTCCCCCATCAGAACAGAGCCATGCGCTCAATGGACCTGTACGTGTTTAAACAAACTCCGAGAACAGAGGTAAACAATGAGTACCAAATCAAATTTTTGAAACAAATTGAGTAAGAGAACCGAAGAATACGAGAACTGGGGCATACGAGAACCGAGGTTCCAATTGTGTGTTTCATTGAATATGACTGCATATTCTGTATTGATAATTTTCTTGTTTAGGGCTTCTATCCCTCTGACTAGTGCTCTTGCATCTTGATTTAATTGGAAGAGGATTTCTCCAAAAGTCATCTTCATTCAAGGTGAAGAAAAAGTAATAAATAACTGTAGAATGTATTACACATATTATATATTTACACAACGTTTTGAACCTACATGGTACATTCTCAAGTGATGGGACAGTACAGGGCATATTGGATTTATACCATTAGGGAGGTTAGGTGCAGACAAATACAAATAGGTGAAGAGTAAGGCATAAAACTGTGAAGAATAAGGCGAAAAAAGAGTACGAAGCACATACAAAGATTAATAATGTGTATTGAGCGTGGCATGTTCAACAATGTCTTCTATGTTGGCATCTTTGCCTTCTGGTCTTGTTCTTACTCTCAGGGTGGGTAGAGTGAATAGAGTATATATGAATAGAGTAAGTACTGTGTGTGTGTAATTACCTAAATGTAGTTACAGGATGAGAGCTATGCTCGTGGTGTCCCATCTTCCCAGCACTCTGTCATATAACGCTTTGAAACTACTGACGGTCTTGGCCTCCACCACCTTCTCCCCTAACTTGTTCCAACCGTCTACCACTCTGTTTGTGAAAGTGAATTTTCTTATATTTCTTCGGCATCTGTGTTTAGCTAGTTTAAATCTATGACCTCTTGTTCTTAAAGTTCCAGGTCTCAGGAAATCTTCCCTATCGATTTTATCAATTCCTGTTACTATTTTGTATGTAGTGATCATGTCAACTCTTTTTCTTCTGTCATCTAGTGTTGGCATATTTAATGCCTCTAACCTCTCCTTGTAGCTCTTGCCCTTCAGTTCTGGTAGCCACTTAGTAGCATGTCTCTGCACCTTTTCCAGTTTGTTGATGTGCTTTTTAAGATATGGGCACCACACAACCGCTGCATATTCTAGCTTTGGCCTAACAAAAGTCGTGAACAATTTCTTTAGTATTTCACCATCCATGTATTTAAAAGCAATTCTGAAGTTAGAAAACATTGCATAGGCTCCTCGCACAATATTGTTTATGTGGTCCTCAGGTGACAGTTTTCTATCTAGAACCACCCCTAGATCTCTTTCTTTATCAGAATTTGTGTGTGTGTGTGTGTGTGTGTATATATATAATATTTATTTATTTATTTTATACATAAAATGGTACCTCTTAATGTACAGTGGTACCTTCGGAGCTGGTGTCATCTGTGTGGCACGGTGATCGCTCTGTTTGTCGGCCGGCTTCTTGTAAGGGGAGCTGGTCCTTTTGCGGTTCACCCCATTGACAAGGCGATGGTGGGTGGGGGAGGGGGAAGCTCGCGCTGTTTGCTCACCCTTGGTCCTATGATTCGTGGTTTTTTTGGGTTGTGTCGTCTGGCCTATGGTGGCGTTGGATGGCTTCTCCTCCTTCGGGAGGGTTCTGGACTGGCGGGGCAGGCTGCTGCTTCCTGCGCTTCATCAGGTTATCTCAGAATGGGTGCGCTTGGGTGTGGTCGAAACGGCCCTGTCCTTCAGGTGGGTTCCCGCCTGTTTCCAGTGCCGAAACGAGACTGTGCGGATCTGAGGTTCATTCTGGACTTGTCCCCTCTGAACCCCTGGATTCCTTGCCCCTTCTTTCAAAGGACCACTCTGTCTCGGGTCCTGTTTCTTTTCGAGCCGGGTGCCTGGATGGTGTCCCTGGATCTCAAGGAAGCGTACTGGCACGTTCATATTCGTACGGGGTTCAGAGACTAGTTAGGTTTCGTGGTGGGGCGTTAGGCTTACCACTTTCGTTGCCTTCCTTTTGGCTTGAATCTGGCACGCATCTTATCAGGATTGTTTTGGTGTTTTGACCCGTCTGTGTCTGCTGCTGTGTTTGCTACGGGTTTGGGTCCTGGCCTACCTTGATGACTGGCTGGTATGGGCTCCCAGTCAGTCTGCTTGTCTGCTCGCCAGGGGTGTGGTTCTTTCCCAGCTTGCCGGGTTCAGGTTCCTGGTGAACTGGAGGAAGTCCCATCTGGTTCTGTCCCAAGTTTGGCCCTGGTTGGGTCGTGTTTGAGACTCTGACCACTTCCATGTCTCCCCCTCTGGAGGCGTTGCTGCAGCTGCGGTCCTGCCTTCAGCTATTTATGGGGGGTCCTGGGTCAGTTGTGTGGGGGGTCTGAACTTCGCAGTGATGGTCAACCCGCTGGGTCGGGATCTTCTTCGGCGTCTGTTCTAGTTCCTTCGGGAACACGGGAGTTTCCTTCGGGAACGCAGGGGTTTCTGCACTTTTGGTCCTGGTAATCGGTTTGTGCGGTTGCAGCCTTCTCCTTCTTTTCTGGCGGAGAATGCTTTGGAATGCAGAGAATCTGGTTGCTTTCCAGACAAGTCCTTGGGTCATTGATGCTTGATTGGTCAGGCCGGGGGGTGCATTGTGTGTTGTGTCTGGTTCCGGCTGTTTGCCGTTACTTGTGTGCCTCGGCTTCTGTGGCCAGGGATGCATTTTAGGTTGATTCAGTTTCCCACGTTCTCTGTACCCGGGCTCGTTTCTCCCAGGTTGTCCACAGGGCTATTAAATCTAGCTAGCCTGTGGTCTGTCCTTGTGCCCATGACATTGGGAAGTTTGCTGCTTTTGCTGCAGTATTTGGCAACATGTCCTGGTCTGATATTCGGGTGCAGGGATTTTGGAGATCGAACAGAGTCCTAGCCGCCCGATATTTGGTTAGCATTCCTGCTCCTGGGTGTTCATGTGTTGCTTTGGGTTACAGGTTGCAGCCAGTTGTCTCAACTTTGCATTGAAGAATTTGTGGTGGCCACCTCCCAAGTAAGTCCCTCTTTTCCTTATCTTTGGTTCTAGGGACCCAAAGGGGCTCCCCACAGAAAGCCATCGTTGAATGTAATAAAACGCCATTTTCTGGGTGAGCTCCGGAGGTTTCCTGGCCACCCTTCCTCCGGTCTGCTGTTTTTTCTTTGTTTGATGCTTAGCTTCCGAACTGGAGTGCTGGGTAGCTGGCGTGGGAAGGGGAGGGCTGCAATGACGAGTGGTGCAGCAGTGGAGAGTGATGTTTGCTTGTTTCCTTGGAGGGAGTTTTACCACTCTCTTTTTGGTCTTTATTTGTAATTTTCTTATCATGTGGAGTTTGTTTTGTTATGCCTACCTTTCTGGGTGCTTAACCCCGGTCAGTGGCAGATGAGGAAAACCCCCAACCACAGGGGGTGTTTTCCAGTGCCATTGCTCCCTGCAACCTCTCTGAGGGGGGCCAGATTCTAGCTCGTGGTCCCCGGTAGGTCGAACTCCTTAAACTAATGCCCCGGTCTAATATATCACACATTAGCCCGATAGCTCCAGGGAGCCTCCGGGACTCACCCAGAAAATGGCATTTCATTACATTCATCGCTGTTTTTGTTTTGTTTTATTCAAGTTTGTCCAAATCTAATTCTGATTTCATGTCATGCACAAAATGTTTGTATTGTCTGTGAATATATTCATTCAATTACTCACTACCTCTGGCAAATGATTTATATAAATCAGGACCATATTTGGGGCCAGTATTAATCCTTATGGGAGCTCACTAATGGCTTACTCTATGCTCAGACTTCCTCATATCACTGTTCTCATTTTTCTTTCAGACAAGAAGTCGCCCATCCATTTTGGTAATATGCCCATTTTAATTCCTACTTTTTTCAATTTCCAAATTAGTCTTTTGTGAGGAACTCTTACCAAACTATTTTTTCTGGGCAGACTCACTCGGTAATTTCCCTTAACTCGCATAAAGGCAAATTTTAGACTCACCAGACACCTGTGACAGTCTAGACCCATTAGAGATAAGGGCATTTGCAAACTCCTCTTTTCCCCTTTATGGGGCAGAGTATATGGGAACTGGAAATCAAGCTTGTAACAAGGTAAACTGTTCAAACATATTGAAAGGAGGTCACAAAACACACAACCTCCACCCAAAAAATGTTTACCAATTACTGAACTGCTTAAAGAAAACTGACAACTATCCAACCAGCCCATTAACCATCACCTCCGTAACCACTCATTGGGCGCATGAGAACTACCTCACCCGCCTGGTGCCAGAAGGGACACATAACTTGCTATTATGTGGAAATCACTTTGATTATCTTGGATAAGTGTTTAGCTAGTGGCACCTCTTACATGATGCCACTAGCCAAGATCTTTCATCACCAGAGTTGTCTTTTCTGAGGTTATTGACTCCTCTGCAAAGATTCTTCTCATGTCAACCATATCCTAGGTAGTGTTTGGAACTTTGAACTTGGAGACCTGCTGAGTGGGAGGGTAGTACTGTAGTTTGTCTCAGTACTAGATAGATCTCTGTTCTCCATGTGCTTCCAGTCCCAGAGAGATAGAGCAAGGATAAGAGATAGTGCAAGGATATTAGCAAGGGCCTTTGTCTCCTTTGTCTCTGGAGGATAGAGCGCGTTACAGGGACCTGGCATGGCTAGTCTGCCCAATGCCAGTTGACATGTTGAGGGAAGCTACTGAGGTGATGTCCAGAAAGGGATGTTTCATCACACTGTGCTCTATTTGATCCCTCCATTAAATACTTTTTTCAGTATGCATGAATAGCAATGCATTTCTTGTGCAACTGTGTATGGTAACTGCACTTTTTTTACTTCCATAATATCTTATTGCTTGACTCATTGAGGTCTTTGTGCAGTTTTATATGTGTTTGTTTTGGGAAATTTCATCATTTGTCAAGTTTTGCTGCATATTGCATGCTCTTAATACAGTATATTATCTGTTGGATTTGAAGAAGTTAACTTGATTCAAAACCAGGTATCTAGGGCCAATTTCCTCGCTTCACATTTCTAGTGTAATTGTTTCCAGAGTTCATATGCAAGCTGTCAAAAGCTTTCATCATATACATGTTGTATGTAGTTAGCATTGATAAATTGGTCAGATTAAAACATATTTCATAAACTGCTTAAACCCTGTTATCATGTGACACTCGTCCACCAAATACTTGTCTGTTCTATTCTTGAATGGAGTGCGGTTTATAATCATTTTTCCTTGGACCTAAGGTTTTCTTGTCATGATCACATCTCACCAGTGTGTGGTTGTTTTCATGATCACATCTCATCAGTGTGTGTGGTTGTTGCCATGATCACATCTCACCAGTGTGTATGGTTGTCATGATCACATCTCACCAGTGTGTATGGTTGTCATGATCACATCTCACCAGTGTGTATGGTTATCATCATGGTCACATTTTGCCTGCCCTTCCTTAAAACTACCTGGCCTCTAGACTTGCACAGAGTATCTCAACACTAGGACCATAATCTGGTGAATTCATATAGTTGAGGGCAATATTAGGATCTGATATTGAACCAAAACTGCAGAAAATCACCAAGAAAATATAGGGGAAGCAAGACTATGCTGTCTTGATTAAAGAGAGAAAAGATGGAAACAAAGGATAGGATAATTTGCCTAATGTCAACAATACATGCTGATTAAAAAAAAAAGAGATCCAGAGGACTTCTGTATAAAAAAAAAATTGTCACCTGAGGATCCCATAAAGAACATTGTGCGAGGAATGTATGCTACCCTTTCCAACTTTAGATTTACTTTTAAATTCATGGATTGCAAAACATTAAAGGAATTATTCACAACCCTGTGAGACCAAAGTTGGAATATGCAGCAGCTGCATGGTGCCCATATTTCAAGAAGCATGTCATTAAACTAGAAAAGGTGCAAAGACATCAAACTAAATGACTTCCGAAACTGAAAAACAAGACCTGTGAGGGGCAGGTCTCTTCCTCGTCCATCCATCGAGTCATCACAAAGTGGGTGCGCTTGAGCGTCGTCAAAACGACATTCTTGCAAGTGGGTTTACAGCTTGTTTCCAATTCCAAAACGGTACTGTGCGGATCTTCGGTACATTCTAGACTTGTCTCGTCTGAATCGGATGATTCTTGCCCCTCCTTTTGGAGGACCACGTTGTCCCAGGTTCATCTGTTACGTATCGGAAAATAAAAATGGAAGAAAAGAAGAAAGGTGTTGGAGGTAGAGAAGTAAAAAGGAGGTGTGAAGAAGAGTGGTCAGGAGAAAGGGAAAATATAGAATGAGAGGGAGAAAATTAGATCAAGGTAAGTAGAAGAGTAGTAAGTAAGAGTGCTAGAGTAGTAGAAAGATAGAAGTAGAAGAGTAGAAAGTTGCTACCACCATACATTCAAGCTGTTACTTATCTGAGAAAGAATGGAACTTGTCTGCACAACAATATTATCTGGTGTGAATCATATACCCATTGTACGAATATAACTCATACAGTATAACCAAGAATTTTTAAGTCATAATCTTAAGCCAGAAAACTTCAGAGTGCTCTCCACTCTAACTTTCCCTATATAATATATCATAGAAAACCAAGATCTAAGGATCATACATAAAGGCAATTTAGAAAGTAAGTTAATCAATTATATATTTCCTATTAGATTTTCACTCGTATCGATATCATAATTCAACCATATCATTTGATGTTAAATGTCAACATTAATACACAATTTGAGTCACCACACAAGAATTTGAAAGCACCTATGGCTGACTGTTCCTGAGAATCACACAACTACTAAGTTGAAATCACAATATATATCACCTTACAAGCTCATTCACCAAAGTCTCTGAGACTAGGTTTGATTGAAAGGAGGGGGGGAGGGAACTATGGCTGACAGAGAGAGTCCCAACCCAACCTGGGGCAGGCCTATTCTGGCTGTGGGAACCCCTCTCGACAAGTGATCTATCTATCGCAATCCTGCTCAGTGTCACAAATGTACAGTTCCACGGGTATATATGGGGGAACCCGGGAGCCAAGCTCCACCTACCAGCAGATAGCCTCTGGGTATCTACCTGCCACCTAGACAGCGGCTTATCTGATGGAAACAACACAAGACACCCATCTGCAATTTTCAATTTAGCAGAAGCGAAGTCACCTGATGCGATCTGACCTCTACTCACCGTGAGAACATTAAATCTCTAAAGGTGTGACTTTATAATTGCTAAGGGCTGACAAACTGGGGACTCCAATATCCTGTATGACTTTACTCTTGTTTTATGTAAAATATTAAACAAAACACATTTATGGTGTTTTAGACCTCACATTTATGGGCCTCAAGGACATGTATTGGCACATCCCTATCCATCTGGGGTTCAGGAATTGGTTGGGTTTTGTGGTGGGGCACCAGGCATACCACTTTCGTTGTTTTCCGTTCAGCTTAAATCTGGCACCTCACGTTTTCACATGTTTGACTCGGGTTGTGGTGACCCATCTGCGTCTGCTAGGTTTTCGGGTTTGGGCCTACCTCGAAGACTGGTTGGTGTGGGCTCCCAGCCAGTCTGTTTGTCTGTTAGCCAGGGATTTGATTCTTTCCCAGCTTGTTGGGTTTGGGTTCCTGGTGAACTGGCACAAGTCCCAGATGGTTTCGTCCCAGGTTTGGACTTGGCTGGGCCTCGTGTGGGATTCTCGGACTGCATTCCCCCCCTCTCCCCCTTCCCCCCCTTTCCCCACCCTCTTGCTTTGTTTCCTCGTGTGAGACCCGGTTCTGCCTTCTGGGATCTTCCTGGCTTGCAATGACTGATCTTTTTGGGTCTTGGCACGTGTTGTGGCCGTGCTGGGACTTTGGGGTTTTGTTGTCAAGGTGGGCTTTTTGATGCAGTTTTGTGCCTTCTTCGCCTGGCTGGCGTGGTGCTCTCTGCCCACAGGTCGGCAGCTTGTAATTTTTTTTTCACATGTATTTGTGTATGTACACCTGTGCATGTACATGTGTTCACTGTATGTGTGTGCACATGTGTATGTGCATACGCACGTGCGTGTCTGCACAGTCCCAAAATGGGACTGTGCAGACCTGCAGTTTGGATGATGTCCTTGGACCTCAAGGACGTGTATTGGCGTGTCCCAATTCATCTGGGGTTAAAGGACTGGCTCGGTTTTGTGGTGGGGCGTCTCAGTTACCGCTTTCTTTGTATCCTGTTTGGTTGAACCTGGCTCCTCACGTGTTCACACGTCTTACCCGGGTCATAGTGGCTCATCTGCATCTTTTAGGTGTTCAGGTGTTGGCTTACCTTGACGACTGGCTGCTTTGGGCTCCCAGTCGGTTGGCTTTCGGAGGGGTCCATTGGTGGTGGATTCGTTGTTGGTTCAGCCGGGGGTGCATTACTTACTGTGTCCGGTAGCGTCTCTGCATTGCTACCTGTGGGCCACTGGTTTTGTGTGGGTAGACGCGCTCTGGGTTTATCTAGTTTCCCCTGGTTCCCTGTTCCAGGACTCATGTTTCTCAGGGTGTCCACAGTGTCATTAAGTCTAGCTAGTCTGCGGTCTACCCTCACACCCATGATGTTAGGAAGTATGCTGCTCTTTCGGCTGTCTTTGGCAATATATATTTATTTGGGATGATTTTCGGGCGAGGAGTTTTGGAGGTCGAACAGGACCCTGGCCGCCAGATATCTCGTGAACGTCCCAGTTCCTCAGCGGCCTTGTGTGTGGATTTGGGACGCCTGTCACGGCCGTCTGTTTCTTCCTTGTGGTGAGACCTGCAGTGCTACTGCCTTCCTGATAAGGCCATGTTTTTCCTTCTCTGTGGGTAGTTAGGTTCAGGGAGCCGATGGGGCTCCCTACAGAAAGCCAATGTTGAATGGAATGAAACACCAGTTTCTGGAAGAGCCCTGGTGGTTCTTGACACCCCTCCCTCCCTCCTTCCCTCTGGTCAGCAGCTTTCATCATTCAAGAACTGAATTGGTGGGTTGCAAGTTCTTGGGCCAGCTCCTCCTCCCCCCCAATGGGGGGGAGGGGGGGATGGCACTAGTGGGTGGGGGACTAGTTGGATGAAGTGTTGCTTGTTTTCTTTCTAGTTCTTTTGCTCTTTGGAAGATGTAGGTTGCAATTTTCAACCAGACTGGTCTGTTTTGGTTTGCCTACCTTTCTGGGTGCCTTCCTGGATCGATGGCAAGTATGACATACTTTAAATGTAAAGTGTTCATTGGTCCCTTCATTTTTCTTGAGGGGGTCCAGGTTCTGGCTCTCGTCCCCAGTAGGCAACAAGAATTCTGTGACTGATGACCCCAAATAGGATAGCACTATATCAGTGGGATAGCTTCAGGGAGCCTCTGGGGCTTACCCAGAAAATGGCATTTCATTACTTTCATCACTGATTTTATGTTGTAGATATACAGTACACCTATTTATAGAGTATGACACAAGAATTCCATGTACAGTATACCATAGCTTAGTTGAATGTAGAAGTAAATGGTCAGTAGTTAAGCACCAGCAATGCCCTTGTTCAAGGCACTCTGTAGTTTGCCAATTGGTTACAGGTACCAGACCCTGATCATCCACAACCTTTCAAGCACCCTGAGCCACATCATAAACACCAGAGGCAGCAGATCCAGCAACGTCTCAGTTTAACTGCTGTGTTTGTGCCCGTGGCTCGTAGCTCTGATGCACTTCCTTACTATGAAGCTTTGCAAAATCTTGATCTCACTGTAGATAATGTGACGGTAGTAGCAATGGACCTGGGTAGGTGTAAAGTTTATATTTTATTATACTGTATGTATTATTAAATTAAATTTTTGTCTTGTTTCTTATGATAGGTTACTTATACTGGGCTTTATTTCTAAATCTAAATATGGCTAGAGGAAGATGATATTTAAATGTGTTTATCTTACTAAATCAAGGTTAGGGTTTAATTTTGTAGTGTTGCTCTGTTTGTAGGTATCTCTCTCTGTAGTCAAGTAGTTTCTGCACAATAACTTGAGCTCTATATGGTACATAACAGTGAAGTTTTATTCATAATTTCATTACAGTGCACACAGTTAATGAACATTTGTACTGGCTCATCAGTAGTTTCTCAGGCACTGGTACCACAGAGCCTCGTGCCACATCCCTGTGATCAATGTGCTCCCGGTTTTCAGAAAATTGTTAGCATGTATATTTATGCCTCATTTCTTGCATGGACTCAGATTAACTGTTCACCTTGAATTGCACATGCATGGAGGGATCATCTCTAGATGTTGCCCCTGCCGAGCCAGTGTTTCTCGGGTGTGTTTTGGTGGCTGTCCCTGAGAGGGCAGCTTCTGGTAGAAAGGTGCCTCACTCTCAACAGTGTATGAGTCTTTGACTCCCCTATGAGGCTCTATGAATATGGGCAGTCTGAAATTTCATATAAGGGTTACACAGGTTGTTTGTTATACAGCATGCTGCTCACACCCTTAACAGCTATATGCGCTCCTATGCTGTCTTCAGCGTTTATACTGTAATATTTGGCGAGTAGTACCTGTGCCTGGTGTTCCTTGCTTGGTCTATTCTTCAGGACCTAGCAAGGCCTTTTCAGTTTCAGAGATTTTGTATTGAACATGCCCTTCGATTCTGCCATCACAAGGCTTGAGTTTGAAAGATGTGCCTCAGTTTGATGTATGCTGATGGCCATTCTTAATACCTCTGTCATGCTGCATTTTGGGTGGGAAAGCCCCATTTCACAAGATTTCCGTGGCATTTTTTTCACCTCCAGCCTATTCATGCTCCTCCTGAGCCATCTTGGTTTATGGACAAGATTTAGTTTTTTCTCTTTTCTCCTCAGTTTTCTGTTGCCCCATAGGTCCAAGACTGTTTCTTCAAGGATTTGTTTTTGTTGGCCCTGGCCTCCAGTTGTCGAGTTGGGGAGTTTTTGTGCTCTCCTCTGAAAGTAGGAATTTTGATCCCGGGGATCATTTACTTTGTTTACAGCAATCTCCTTCCTTTCTGGCTAAAAATGAGATGGCTGGTTTCTGGAGGGGGTCCTTTGGTGATTGATGCTTAGTTTGTTTGGCTCAGGAGGCATCATTTATTAGATCCAATTGCAGCCTTTCACTGTTACATCTGTGCCACTAGTGGTGCACAGGGAAGTACTCTACAGATCCAATATCCTGAGAAAACTGCTTCACTACTGTGATTCATTCATCTTGGGGCTTCGCAGTCTCATTTTCTATGCTTTGTTTGCCTTACTGTTTGTATGTTTTGGTTTGTTCACCATTCTGATGGCCTTTTCTTGGTTTGAGTGATCTCAGATCCCCTGCAGCTTGCACCTCTTTAGAAAGGGCCAGGTTTTGGCCTCTGGTCCCCCAATAGGCTTTCAGTGACTTGCAAGGACCTGCCACGAATTGAATTGGGTAGAGCATGCCAGGTAGCAAGTCATCTTTAATAGAACTGATGTTTGATTTTAATGTATGAAAAATACTCAAAAGGTCACATTCACCATTTAAACGTGAAAAATATATATTAGATGGAGGGTATTCTCTTTTTTTTTTTTGTAGAATGGATCATGTTTTAAAGCAAAAAAGTTTATAATGTCTTATAATGAACAATTGTTTGTTTTATGCTAAAATATTTAGATCTGTGCACTCACTGTTAATGACAATTATTTATTTTTCTCTTAACCAGGTCTAAAATACATTCTATTTGACAAGCTGTTAATGACGAATTCATTCCTACTGGGCATTGGTGCTGGCATTGTGGTGGTGTTGATGTGGTGCTACACTGGCTCACTCTTCGTCACTATAGTCGCCATCACCACAGTTGCCTCTTCTCTCATCATTGCATACTTCATGTACATCTTCATTTATGAGATAACTTTCTTCCCATATATGAATGTTTTAACTACTGTTATAGCAATAGGTAAGTTTAAAACATTTTTATTTTTTATTAAACAAGATTCTTTTCTAAGCTATTGCATTCAGTTGTGCCTTAACCACCGTGCTGCGCCGAGTTTATTGTGAAATTCCCCCAGTGCACATGAAATAAAGCGTTCCCAAAAAATTCTTTTTTCTTCGTAAAATGATAAATTCCCTTCCCTGAACATGTCTATGTAAAAAAAAATACCAAATTTCACTTACTTTGGTTGTGGGGACGTGGACAAGGTGCACTGTGACGTCATCAGGGCCTGGTCACCCATGCGTGAATCGCCCAGACATTGTCGCGCGGGCCATTCAAGCACCAGGTGTTCCACAAATATATTTTCAATAATTTGTTTTATGTATTTCCAATGTGGTTTTATTTGTTTTTTTATCGTATATGATGCATATTTGTGTTCTTTACAATATGTATACAGTAGAATGTCCATAATGTTCCATGGAACTGTGATACATGTGTCAGTAATGTGTCCACAATAAATGTTTATTGTCGCAATATTACCTGTTAAAAATTCACTAAAATTACAATATGTACAGTTTCACACACTTTTTACACAGTAACACACTGTATTACACACTGAGTACTTCGGAAGTGAGTAATAATCAACGAAATAGTCCATGGTACACAGCGCGACTTCGCTCTCAGTGCACCAGGTACAGATAAATTTTTGCTTCCTGTTTCTTCATTCTGTGTGCTTGCAAATAACGCACTCACGTACACCCTTGGCTTTAGTACTTGTAGGTTGTAGGTAGCCAAGCTTGTAAAGCATAAGGTAGTATTGAAAAGATTATAGGAAAAGATCAATTTGTAAGGTAATCTTGAAAAGATCGCTTTGTATGGTCCCACACAGGAAGAGATTCAGTTTGCCTCAAGGGGGCATGAGTTGGATTATTAAAAGTTGTTTTAGTGCAATCAAAATTTATTGACATTTTATATGTAAAAAGGGCTGCAACTGGTCCAAGTTTCAGCATCGCAGCCTAAATAGAGAGGGAGAAAAAAACAAAAACATATTTTACACTATTTTCAACATTTTCAATGCTACATTACAAACACAAGTGTCAACCGAAATCATTTCTATGATACTCAGCTATCACATTACTATATAATAAAGGTTTGGGAGTTATATTTCTATCCCAAATATATTTAGTGCAATAATACAAATTTTCAAAGTTCACCCAAAAAATTATGCAACAAAATGATGTTTATAAATATTTATAAAATCAATAAATGAACTTATGAAAAAACAAAACTGTGGTTTTTAGAGGCATAAACTCTACGTATAATATGCAAGTTTCATGTAAATTGAATAATAAATGAAAAAGTTATTCAACCATGTAGTTGCTAATTACTTACCTGTAGAAAATAAAGGGCAAAGTTCAGCCACCTATGGCTGAGGTTGATGTCGACCAATTTCATTAAAAATTGGCACCCTTGTAGATAGGCATGCCTTCAGTAAGGTGTGCAAGTTCCATGAAGTTCACATGATAACAAAAAATAAAATTAAAAAAAAATTATTAAAAAAAAATTATTAAAAAAATGTCCAGTAGTTTTATATTTACAATTATTTATGATGTAGTACCAAAATATAACACTAAAACATACTAACCTAATATAATTGGTCTGAAATATGGGTCCTTGTCAAGGTGGCACTGTATTGGCACTAGTAGGCACATGTCCCATAGCCAGGGTCAGCTTCCTCGGGCCTTTCTTGGCTTGGTGGTGCATGTCGTTGGTTTCTGCATCATCTTGTCCTTCATGTTGAAGTACCAGCACCATCAAGAGCGAGAACGTCTGGAGGAATGTCTGTGGCTGGGTGGCAGTGTGAGGTGGTGAGGCGGGCTGGTGTGTTGTGGGGTGGCAGACGGAGAAGCGAGGCCACCTCTATCTTCACTCAACAGAATGCAGTTTTGCGTCAATCTGGTTCTCTGCTCCTTCTTTACTTGGCTAGCGTATAAAGCTTTTGCTTATCGAGCTTTCGCCTTCTTCGACAATACTGTAGAGCCATTGTGCAGTAGATACTACAAAAAGAGATTCACAGGAAGATTTGTGTGAGCGCGTCAACGCTAGAACCACCTGGCAAAGGGGAGCCAGCCGGCCGAGCGAACAGCACACTAGACACGTGATCCTGTGGTCCTGGGTTCAATCCCTGGCACCGGCGAGAAATGGTGGGCTGAGTTTCTTTCACCCTATGCCCCTGTTACCTAGCAGTAAATAGGTACCTGGGAGTTAGTCAGCTGTCACGGGCTGCTTCCTGGGGGTGGAGGCCTGGTCGAGGACCGGGCCGCGGGGACACTAAAGCCCCGAAATCAACTCAAGATAACCTCAAACGGCACTGTAATGAAACAGTGACGTTTCATTACAAGCAATTGGTAGAATCAGCCCTGGAAAAGCATGTGGCGGAAGTCATCTTAGAGCCAATTACACATAGTGAGTGGGCAGCCCCAATTGTACCAGTGTTGAAATATGTCAAATATGGTTGGAATGATAATTTATTATTGTCAGAGTATGCTGCAGTAAAGGCTGACCTTAGTATTCACCAGGATGTACTCTTGTATAGGAATAGAGTGGTGGTGCCTGGGGAACTAAGATGTAAGATTTTGGAACAGCTACATGTAGGCCATAATGGCATAAATGCAGAAAGCAGAAGCTAGAAGTTGGGTTTGGTGGCCAAAAATAGACCAGGATATTGCTGAGGTAACAAAAAATTGTCATATTTGCTTTAAGAATTATCAGAAACCACAGGCCCCAGTACTTTCTTGGCCATGCACTGGAAAACCCTGGTCTAGACTTCATATAGATTATGCGGGACCTATGGATAACAAATATTACCTAGTGGTGGTGGATTCATACACCAAATTTCTGGATGTGCATGTGTAATTCCACCACATCATCTGTAACTTGTGAATTACTAAGGAAAACATTTTGTAATTTTGGATTGCCAGACATAATTGTCTCAGACAATGCTCCTTATTTTGTTTTTGTGGAAATGGAGGATTTTTTTTTCGAAAAAATTATATTAAACATATAACACCTGCCCCCTATAATCCTTCTTCAAATGGTCTAGCAGAAAGAGCATGAGATCCTTGAAAGAAGGGTTAAAGCGGTTTACGGAAGGTACTATTAATACAAGGCTTTGTAGATTTTTATTTACTCAAAGGAAAACTGTTCATTCTACTACTGGTAAATCTCCTTCTGAATTACTGTTTAATAGACACTTTAAAGTACGCCTGGAAGCAGTAAAGACAGATCCCGATAAAGAGAAATTGGTAACTAGCTTGGCCAGTCAGTTGGCTCAGGGAGAGGAATTGTTGTTTAATGAGGGGGATGCAGTATATGCAAGGAATTTTGGAAGTGGAAAGCCTTGGGTTGAAGGAAAAATTAGGGAAGTCCTGGGCTGCAGAAATTTCACGATGCAAGTGCAGAGTTTTGAGAACATTAATTGGAAAAGGCATACAGATCAGCTCATGCTAAGGTTCACAGGGAATTTTGAAGGCCCTTCAGGTGGGGGTGGGGCAACTAGTGATACCAATCCTAATAATGAAGGGGTAGCAGCACCTGCAGGAGACCGGGAGACAGAGCAAGGGGCAGCAGAGGGTAATGGGGATACAGAGCACCACTTGGTTTCCGAACTTTAGTTATCCAAAACTTCCAGTTTCCCGATTGGGGTTGGGGAGTCATGCTACACGAACAAAGTTCGGGTAGGAAGCAGTCCGCCAAGCGTCGCGCCGGGCCCGTAGTGATGGGTGGGAGATGGTCCAGTTTGCCGCCTTCTACCCTGTGATTTCACAGATTCACGGCCTATTATTCCTATTATTTTGATTTGTCACGAGGCTGGAGAGTTCATTCTGTAATTTTGTTTTACATATCTGCACAATCAAGAAACATCTGTGCACCATGTCGGCTCCAAATGCACGCATTGCGTCAGTGATTGCTGACTGGTGGGTGGAATGGGGAGCTTAGATGGAAGGCAGTATGAGAGAGAGGGGGAGAATTAGAGAGGGAGAATTAGTGAGAAAGGGAGGGGGAGGTAGGCAGGAAGGAAGTAGTGAGGAGGCGGATGGGAGAATTAGGGAGGGAGGGAAAGGCAGGCAAGCAGGCTGGCTGCCTGACTGCCTTTCCCTCCCTCCCTAATTCTCCCATTCTCCCTCCTAGCATCTCTCCCTACCTTCCCCTCCCTCCCTTTCTCACTAATTCTCCCACTATTTCTCCTCTCTCACTAATTCTTCCCCCTCTCTGTTGGTGGAGTGGTGAGGGAGGCAGTAAGGAAGGATTTGCTGACCAGGCGATGGTTGCCAAACTTATCGCCCATATTGTATTACAAATTTTAATCTTAGTTGTAAAATATTTATGCCAAAATGTTGATTTTCATATATTAATATACTGTACATTATTAATCATTAACATGTTATATGATTTCCTATTTATTAATTAAACAAATATAGTTTTATTTATGAATTATGCACAGTTGGCATCTGTGAGTAGGCGCTGACAGACATGTCTGCCTCTACACAGCCTCGAGCCCGTTAGTAGTTCCCGACCCCATTAGTAGTTCCCGACCCCGTTAGTAGTTCCCGACCCCGTTAGTAGCTCCCCCCTCCTCCATAGCCTGCTGTTCTCATGTTATGAGGAAGGCAGTGAGGGAGGGATGGCAGGCATTGAGAGGGAGAGGCAGTGAGTGGGAGAGGCAGTGAGCGGGAGAGGCATTGAGGGGGAGAGGCAGTGAGGCATTGAGGCATTGAGCGGGAGAGGCAGTGAGGCATTGAGGGGGAGAGGCAGTGAGGCATTGAGGGGGAGAGGCAGTGAGGCATTGAGGGGAGAGGCAGTGAGGCATTGAGGGGAGAGGCAGTGAGGCATTGAGGGGGAGAGGCAGTGAGGCATTGAGGGGGAGAGGCATTGAGGGGGAGAGGAAGTGAGGCATTGAGGGGGAGAGGCAGTGAGGGGGAAAAGGCAGTGAGGGGGAGAGGCAGTGAGGGGGAAAGGCAGTGAGGGGGAAAGGCAGTGAGGGGAAGAGGCAGTGAGGGGGAAGAGGCAGTGAGGGGGGAGGCAGTGAGGGGAAGGCAGTGAGAGATAGAAGCAGTGAGGGAGGGAAGGGTGGGGGTGAGTGAACGCAATTACACAATGAACTTTATTTCATTTGTTGCATTTATGCATGAATCTGTCGATTTTTCCCTTAGAATTTTTTGTTAAATTTAAAAAAATTCTGAAATTCATTTTTTATCCGATCGACCTCAGGATAGTTTCAAATTAAGTGCCTTTAGATTGCGCACAATTTGATACCAAAATGAAAGATGTAACATGAAACTTGATGTCCGAACACTTATATGATTATAAATAGATTTTTGGTCAAAATTTTAAAATATTTGTTAAAATTCTATTTATTGTGCTATTATGTTGGGATTAGTTTTAAAATATGCGCCTTTACGTCGCAAATAATTTGATACCAAAATGAAAGATGTAACACTTGCCTCTCTGAGGGGGCTAGGTTCTGGCTTGTGGTCCCCGGTAGTCCCATAGAACTCCATACACATGACTGATGCCAAAGACTGACATTAGCATATCAGCCTGGATAAGCTCCGGGGAGCCTCCGGGTCTCACCCAGAAAATGAAGTTTCATTACATTCAACGCTGGTTTTTTTTATTAACAAGGTGTTGTAGAGCCGCAATCATGGTGCTGATGATGGTAACAATTTAAATATTTTTCCATTCAGGATAAAACTGACATGATACAACAGTAAATGTAGGCATAACTACCTCAGTGTATTTGGCACTATACTGGTGGTGTGAGGTGGCATTCTGGGCAGGAGACTCGGTAGATCCTGTTCCCTCACTTCTGTCTCTGCTTTCCCTATGTTTTATAGGTTGTTCATGTCAGGCAAGATGTGAGGTGGGCTGAGTCAGGGAACCCTGTTTACGTGTTGATGCTATTATCTGGCGACAGTCTGGGACAGCTGCCTGGCACACCTACTATATATTAGTGGACTCTGCTCAACACGACCTTCCCAAACATGTAGTGTTTGGAAAGGCTTTGTGTTTTTAAGAATGAGTTTTATAAAGGTTATTTAGGCTGGAGGGGCTTTTATCCAGTGTTTGCTTGGCATCAGTATGACCAGACAGTGAAATGTTAAAAGGTTACTACTGCAGTGTTACAGATTGTTGACCTGCTCTAACTGTACATTGATTTCATCCATGAGACCAGCAGAACATTGCCTAAGGAAGCAAATTAATTTCTGCTCAGAAGGAAGCATTTCATATAAACTCAAGAGTGTTTTTTTTTTATAACTTTTTGGCAGTAGCCAAGGTCATTGCTCTTACCACAGCTGTTGTTTTTTTACTTACCTTCTGTGTTTCTGCAGAAACTTTTCAATACAATTATAATACATTAAAAATTTTGATGGATTAATTTTAAATTTGGAAAGCATTGTTACTACTCAAAAGCTGTGCTTGTGCTCTTGTAAAGTGAGAAATACAGGACTATAGATCAAATTCATGACAAGATGTGAAAGAGTAACGTCGTCATTTATTGTTCTGATTTTTGCAGTTTGTTGTTATTTTGTGGAATTCTTTCTTTTTCAGGCATAGGTGCAGATGACACATTTGTTTATTGTCGTGTATGGACTTTAGCCAAGCAAGATAAAAATGCGGGAACCATGGTGAAGTTGGTAGGTGATTCCCTTCATCATGCCGCAGCATCCATTATTGTTACCTCACTAACAACTGCTGCAGCCTTTTTTGCATCCTGTGTGTCACATATCACAGCCATTCGTTGCTTCAGGTGAGCATTATATATCATTTTATTAACTTGCCTTTTAATAAACATAAATGTTTTGACCAATGTTATGCATACACCATCTTAGAGTACTGTCTCCACTCGATCATCCGGACTATATGGGAAGGACCCCCAGCCAGATTATCACATTTTTTGGATAATGGTACTTTTTCACCTATGAGTCCAAAAGTGACCATTTCCAACTATTTTTATACTACAAACAACATAATTTGAATTGCCTTGCCACATATAATTATTAAATATTCAACTAGAAACCTCAACTTACCTTGTTGGTGTTCGTCTTCTTGATTGATGCCACACATCTTGACGTTAAGAATTCTTAACAATTTACGTAACCTATACTAACACAACACTAAAATTAACACTTAAAATTACTTTACAGTTCATTAAGCAAAGTTAGTTTTGACTGCCAGCTGCTGAAGTCTCACTGGTTGAAGGCATTTGGGTTGCCTGTGAGGCCTCACTTGTTGAAGGAGCTTGCATGCGCCTCACTTGTTGAAGGCACTTGCTTGCGCCTCACTTGTTGAAGGCGCTTGCTTGCGCCTCACTTGTTGAAGGCGCTTGCATGCGCCTCACTTATTGAAGGCGCTGGCATGCGCCTCACTTGTTAAAGGCGCTTGCTTGTGCCTCACTTGTTGAAGGCATTTGACTGCCTGTGATGCCTCACTGGTTGAACAACATGTAACTTGTCTTTAATTGCTAGGACAACCTTCTTCCTCTTAACACCTCCAGAATGATTGATGCTGCTACCAGACATAGTCTTGGCCAAAAATGTTTAAAGTTACTATGAAAATAAAAAAGTTATTTAAAAAAATATTTCACTAATGGCATAGCACTGTGACGCCGCACTGGTTGAGGTGTATAACAGTAACTTGTCTTTAATTGTTAGGACAGCTTTTTTCTTCTTAACACCTCCAGAACGATTGATGCTGCTACCAGACATAGTCTTGGCCAAAAATGTTCAAAGTTACTATGAAAATAAAAAATCTATTTAAAAAAATATTTCACTAATGGCGCAGCACCGTCGTATAACACGAGGGACGGGAGCACATGGGTTGACCAGTGTTGGACGGGTCCAATTGGGGCAGTTATAGCACGTTATGTAGGCCGCCAGGAGGAAAAAACTCACAATATTTTTTAAGGAAACTTCAGCCTGTGCACATTGTTTTTAGGAAACTTATTTATTTGTTATTACATAATTACTAGTACTTATTTCATTTGTTTTTGGCTATATGAATTGTTCTAAAATTAATGGTAATTCCTGTACCCAGGTGATCCCTCCCAACTTTCCCCTCCCACCCTCCCGACACCACCCACCCTCCCGACACCACCCACCCACCCCCTCCTCCACCATGCATCTAGAGCCACAGGCAGACGGGATTAATACAGTACGGCTGAATTTTTATCTGGCTTAACCAGCTTTTATCCGGCTCCCATGGCCATTTTGGCCGGATATTGAGAACTTTATTCGTTCACGATTTTGGCCGTATAAGGGCATTTTCCGGATGTTCGAATCTCGGATAATCAGGGGGTTACAGTACTTGAGTTGCACTAATTACAATGTAAAATCTTGTACAATGCATTCACATAAATTTAGACCTCCATATAATAGATTCCTCTAAGAAATGAATTAAATCTCCCCTCCATAATTCAGATGCCAGAAAAAATCCGGATTCTTGGTGCCATGGTGAAATTTGCAATGTTAAGTACAATAATTACCAGCAGCTTTAATTTTCTGGGGGGAGCCCCATCAACTCCCCGGAGCTATCCGGGCTGATATAAATGTATTAGACTGTGGCATCAGTCAAGTGAATAGAGTTCTAGGCCTATCAGGGACCACGAACCAGAACCTGGGCCCCCTCAGAAAGGCACGAGGCACAATGGCCAATAGAAACCCCTGTGTGGTTGGAAGCATTCTGTGTCTGCCATTGACCACGTCAGGCACCCAGAAAGGTAGGTGCACCACAAAACAAACCCTATCTGGTTAAAAATTTGCTACTGAAAGCCGAACTGTTGGATAGAACTCCCCAACCTAAAATGAGCAAACGAGCATGATGTCACAACCATCACCGAACTGCTGTCTGTGCAGCTCCCCCCTCCCCGGGAGAGGGAAGAGGGAGTTCCAGACCCCACTCGCCGGCTATCCACCCTTAGTTCTGAGGCTGATGTGAGACCTGGCGGTCGTGCGACTCTGATTCCTGATGTCCTGTGTTGTGCCTTGTGGTGTTGTCCTGTTCTCTGGTGGTGTGTGGACCAGGAGTAATTTCACAAGTACTTGCACTGCATGCACTTAAGGTTCCATTCCCTAGGTGCCCTGTAAGTACTGTCCTTGTGACTTGGGGTTACCTTACACAGGTCGCTTGGGACCTACCTCCGTGGGGGTCTTTTACTGCTCGGTGATTGCCCATCCTTGGAGTCTGCTGGGGTGTTTCATGCGCCTCTGTTTGTCTCTGAATAGGAGGTAATTTCATCACTGGTAAGGTACTGTGCAGCTAGTTTTCACCATAACATGACGGCCGGCTCTGTTCCGCCTGGGGATGCTGTACTCTTGCAGGGTTCTCTCTCCTTTTTGTTTGCTGCCTGGTGGGGGTTCTGCCCCTTGTGTTGTTGACCCTTATTTATATTCTTGGTGGTCTTCCACTAGGTCCTGTGAGTGTACACGCCACAGGGGGTTCAGCAATTAGTAGTTTGTTTGCAGCCACCTCCTTCTTTTCTGGCAAAGAATAAGACTGCTGCTTTCTGGAGGGGTTCTTGGGTTGTTGATGCTTGGTCGGTTCGGCCAGGAGTGCATCATGTGTTATATCCAGTTGCGGCTCTTTGCCGTTACCTGCATGCCATAGCCTCAGTGTCCGAGAACGCGCTTTAGGTTGACCTGGTTTCCCTTCTTTCCTGTTCCCGGGTTCGGGTCTCCCAGGTTGTCCGTAGAGTTATTCGGTCCACCCAGCCTGCAGTCTATCATCGTGCCCATGATGTTCGTAAGTTTGCTGCGTTGGTTGCTGTCTTTGGTAATATATCTTGGGCTGATATTTGGGCATGGGATTTTTGGAGGTCGAACAAGGTCCTGGCCGCTTGCTCCGTAGTTAATGTTCCTGGCCCTAATCGGGCTTGTGTTGCATTGGGTCGGCTGTTGCAGCCGACTTTGCAGTCTTGACTTTGAGTTGAGGAGCGAGTAGCGACTGCCTCCCAGGTAAGTCCCTCTTGTTTTATCATTGGTTAACCCTTCCACTGCTCAGGGATCCTGAGGACATTTACACCTCTGTGCGCAAGAAAACAAAATTTAGAATTTTTTTTTCGTCTTCTAAACATGTTAATTTGTGTCCCCCGAGCACGGGAAAAATTATAAAAAAAATTCTATTGTACTTACCAATGACGTAATTGAGCCGACAAATTGGTAGATGATGTCACAGAGCGTGAGCGCTCAAGGGTGATGCGTCAGGGAACCGTCACTCACAGCCGCTCAGGAGGCCTGAGTTGCCGCAAATTTATTTTCGCGGCATTATTTACAGTATTCTTGGGACATTTTACACTAATTTTTTTTTACTAGTATTGTTCCAATTATTACCACTAGACATTGTATTATAATGAAACTGGTAGAAACTCACTAGGCGCTCACATATTAGTATCACAAGTATGCCCACCAAAATGGTATAGTTTACAGGAAATATTCAATGTATTTTTCTGGGGGGAGCCCCGTCGGCTCCCCGGAGCTTTACCGGCTGATATGCTAATGTCAGACTTTGGCATCAGTCATGTGTATGGAGTTCTAGGGCCTACCGGGGACCACGAGCCAGAACCTGGCCCCCTCAGAGAGGCAAGGGGAGCAATGGCCTATAGAAACCCCCGTGTGGTTGGAAGCATTCTATGTCTGCCATCGACCGGGTCAAGCATCCAGAAAGGTAAGCATTCCAAAACAAACCCCTATTCTGGTGAAAATTGCTACCTAAGCCGAACTAGTGAATAGAACTCTTCAACAGAAAACACGGAAACTAGTATGACGTCATATGTCACCGCGCCGCTGTCTGCGCAGCTCCCCCCTCCCCGGGAGGGGGAAGGGGGAGCCCCAGACCTCCCACGCCGGCTATCCACCCATCAGTTCTTCGGCTGATGCTATAGGCAATGGTTATGTGCTCCGGCTCCAGTGGTTGTTTCAGCACTGTACCTAGAGTGTGGTGTCTGTTTTCTAGGTGGTGCGTGAGCCGGGTGTGATTCTTCAGTACTCGGGCTGCATGCGCCTAGGGTTCCCTTCCCTAGGTGCCCTGTAAGTACTGCCCTTGGGGCTTGGGGCCACCTTCCACAAGTTCCTTGGGTCCTGCCCCTGCTTGGCCGTTTACCGCTTGGTTTTCGGCCGCTCTTTGTGTGCTCGGGTGTTCTGTCTCCCTTGTTCGCCTTAGAGTAAGGGGCAGTGTTTGCACTGGTGGGGCGCGGGGTACTGTGCAGCTTGTCTTTACCAATCATAGCGGCCGGCTCTGTTCCGCTTGGGTACGCTGTCCTCTTGCGGGGTTTTCTTTTTCTTTTGTTTATATACCTGGTGGGGGGGTCTGCCTTCGTTCTTGCCCCTTGTGTCCCTTGTGTTCTGAGTATTTCTGGTGGTACCCCCTGCTAGGTCCCCGTGAGTGTACACGTCCCGGGGGTTCAGCTCTTAGAAAGTTGTTTGGTAGCTTGGGTGCCGGTTAGCAGTACCCTGCCTGGGATTACCTGAGCGCGAGTCCTCTTAAAGTAAACGCTCGGGACCCTGGGAAACCCCTGGGGGCGCGCGGGTCCGATGGATGTGACCCCAGAGCCCCCCCCCTCGCTTCCAGCGAGTTTGAGGGTTGCTCTCACCTTTTGTCTCTGGGTGACTCTGTTTTGCCTCCGTCTGCTGCCTGTGGGGTCGGTGACACCTTCGACCCGGTGTCCTGCGAGTTTGGTTGCTCGTTGTGGCTCGGTTACCCAGTTGTGCTAACAAAGCGGGTGCGGGCAGCAGGGGCGTTGCACTTGAGCCTTGG